TTTGGTTTTCAATTGCCTACTCAGTCCAAAAGGACCTGTTGTAAGAGTGGTTCTGCGCTGGATTTCAACGCAGACGTTATTATTAGCTGGTTCAAAGTTAGACAAATTTATCTACGACTTCAAAGTTATGACTGTCAACAGTGATGTGGAAGCCAAGTCGCGAATGCGATGATTGTTTGTTCAATGGCAGGAGATATTTCATTTTGTCTTCGTTCACTACCAAACCCATATGCATTGCTTGATTGAAAGCAAAACTCGCGGTACAGTATGGAGGAGACCGTTTATATCAATGTCACCGGCATATACCGCATTCGATATTTAGCTCAGCAGCTCGTATTATTTCCGCCAGCGATAAATTAAAGAAGTCACAAAATAACGTGTCACCTTCGTTTGAAAGAGATTTTTCCTGATCCAGGCAGAACTCTTAGTGGTGCTGCAGCCATATAAACTTTGCAGGGATACCAAAGTCAGACTTAGTTGCTGTCGAAGGCTGCTCTAAGACCATCCAAGAGGTATTGTTCTTCGGGAATTTTCCAAACTTTGGAGCTTGGTGAATGTCTTAACGGTCAAATCTCAATTGTAGATTTAACAAGTAAGATAGAGTGCAATTAGTTTGTTGATGGCGGGTTTCAGTCTCTCACACAAAACTCTCGAAAGGACCTTATATGCAAAATTAAGGAGGCTTATCCCACGGTAATTGGCGCCCTTTTGGGAAGAGCTCGCTTAAGTTTCATCAATTAGGCACACTTTCGTCCGTCCATATTCTGCAAAGAAGCTGAAAAGTGCACCTTGTATTCCATCGTATCAGTTCTTGTGTCAATCGTGGGTCTTCGTCTAGTTCTCTACGGGAAAATATCCGGTCTGGAACCTTCGGAAATACTTAGAAATAGCCTTTAAAAATGGTGCCATCATTCCGTATGCAATTCGATCTTCACTGAATATTTGTATTGGTTGTAAATTACGCCGAATCACATGGCGAATTTCTGTTTGAAACAAAAATTTAAAAGAAATAATAGCAAAGGATTTAGTATTTTCAGATTTAACAAAAACAACTTGACGAACTGACCGAACTTTTATCAATCCCCTCGTAAGCACTTTCAACGTTGGTCCTGCAACTAGTTGGTATGAAGGCTGAATATTATTATTTGAAAGACAAATTATAGTTGCGTTCTTTCCATGGCATGAAATGTCAATCTCTACGAGTATATTTCTGACATGAAATACACAGCCTCTCATAAAATTATAACAGCCGTTGGAAGCGAGCTGGAAGAGACTTTAGCACCTGCCTTCTATGGCGTAGATATTCACAAAAGAAACAGATGAGAGAAGAAGGCCTGCTGAGAAAAAAATTATTATCAACGCTTTTCCTACAGTGCATTATAGAAAAAAGAGAAAATAACTGTACATAAGAGTACACGCTTGCACATTTTTTTTTTTTTTGCAACAGATAACCTGCAATACTTCGCTGCCAGTGCAGTGGTTTCACTTTCAATATTGGCTATTTGTCCGCTGCTCGCCTCTTTTTCACCGTTATGTTGTTGAAGTTTTTTCATCTTCTCTTTACCTCAATAAAATTCCTTTATTTGCTTTCAGTATACTATCGGATTTAATTTTCATATTTTTTCTCATTCCCCTGTACATTTTCTTGGCTTGACTTCATCGATGAATCAAGCTTGGCGAGAGCGCAAGCGAGCGCGACCGATTTGTCTACCAGGTGAGTGTGACGAATTAATTTTGTTTGTTTTGTACCAAGTAATGGCTCGAGCGTCACATATTTTAAATAAATATATTTTTTTCCCTGAAATCGCAAATTATTTGCGTTCATTTTTGCTCATCTCTCGTTTTTTCATGTAAACGCCCGCCTCCTTCGTGGTCAGCTCAGATAAATTTTCTACAATTTATTTCTGGCCTTGCAGCACGTGCTTAACTGATTTTTTATTCATTATTTTATAATATTTTTTGATTGAGTAACAAACATATTTTTGTACATATAATAATATATACAGAGAGAAAAGATTCTGCTAAATTAACTGCATTACAGATTGTAACAACAGATCTTATAGTTAAAATACATCAAAACGATTTATCTGCTAATTTAACAGTTGCCGTGCTGTTGATTAAAAATTTAACAGTTTTGCTGTCACAGAAATTATAAGAACTTATTATAAGACCTCTGTTGTCCATATGTTAAATATACGAGTTAACACGAAGTATTAACTAACGGCATTAAAGACTATTCTTACTAGAAAATTCAACAAATCTGCAAGAGTTTGTGGTCTATTAACTTTTATTTCTGTTAAAATTTAACATTTCTTGTATCTATTGAGGTAACAGACAACTTAAAACAACACAACTGTAATTCGTTCTACGAAATTTTTCTGTTAATTATCAACAGAACTAATCCGTTGAAAAAAATAACAGTTTTGCTATCGAATTAACAAATCGTCTCAGAGAAATTATAAGAAGTACTATCTAACGAGATTAAGGGCATAACACAAATGTTACTGTAACAGAAATTAAAAATGCATTCTCTAGAGAACTTGAAAAATTAATATTAGGTCAAGTAAAAAGTTCGTTCGATTTTTTTTTTATTATTTTTCAAAATATGATAAATTTGTCTACATTTGTCCGATTTTAGTCAAAAATGCGCCGTTTTGTTCGTAAACTTGTTGCCAACGAGATGCGAACTTCATTATACCCCTCTCGTAGAAGACTGCATCCCTGCAAAAAACTCGTAGAGCCAATTTTCACAGGCCTCTCTTGAGGCCAACTCTCACCATTAAACGTGTTCGCCATGGACGGGAAGAGATGGTAATCACTTGGTGCCTGGTCTGGACTATAAGTTGGGTGCACTAGAACCTCCCATCCGCGCTTCGGGAGCTTCTGGCGCGTTATCAAAGACGTGAGTGAAGGACTGACGTTGTCCTGATGGAACACAATTCGGTCTCTGTTGATTAAAGATGGCCTCTTCTGGATGAGTGCAGCCTTCAAGCGGTCCATTTGTTGACAGTAGAGGGCCGAATTGAGCGTATGATCACAAGGGAACAGTTCATAGTAGATGATTCCTTGTCAATCCTACCAAACACACAGCAAAACCTGGTGCATATCTGACATCGAAATTTCCGGAACGGAACCTAGCAAACCACTTTTGCGCTACAGGTTCCTTTAAAGTACCGGACCCATAAGCTAAATTAATTTTTTCAGCCGCTTTGGCTGCTTTTTCGCCTTGATCGAAGAAAAATTGTAAAATATAGCGAATTTTGGCACTTTGCTGGTGTTCATCTTTGGCGACTGCTCACAACGTACTGAGTCAATCAATCGAAAAACTGTCAAATACAAACTTTTAGCGCGAATAAACACGCTTTCAGCGCTGTATGGTATGACATAATGTGACACGTAACACTAGTACTACGGACAATAACGCTTAGATAAAAACCGAACGAACTTTTTACTTGACCTAATATAAGTTCTCTGGTATTGTTTCAAATTAACAGATTAACGGTTTAGTTTACAGTAACTTCTCGTAATTGTTAACAGGAATGTCATTTTGAAACAACAAATATTTTTAACTGGTCAATTTGTTGAAATAACAGGCATTTTCCCTTATTAAACCTGTTGTTTCGGTTAAATCAGCAGGTCGCTATTAATGCAACGATTCTTCATATCAAAAGAGCGGTCTGTTAATCTAACAGTTGTGATTTTTCTCGATGTAGTAATTAGTTGATTTGTTTATTTTTATTTTAACATTTTGTCTTATCTCTATCTTTAGAAACGATTTTTTCTGATTTTATTTAACAACCGATTTAATGCAATTTTAATGAGCTTCAGACTCATTTCATTAACGAAATGAGCAGCGAGGAAAGTTGACTGGAGAGGAAAAAGTTAAAGAAAGTGTGTCTCTTTCATCAATTCATTTCATGTTGTAATTAAGCGTTGGTTCATCAAAGATATTCAAATGAAATAGTAGCTAACCAATTTTAATAAGCCCTGAAACTTCGGTTTCTTTTCTGAGATTATTTTATCTTGGCAATAGGTTTGGATGACCCAAAGTGATATTTTATACACAAAATTAATTAAATGCATATTACAATATATTCTTGTATGACTACAATCTATGCATAAGTTTATTGAACCTTCTATATACATAATAAGTAGATCTGAATACAAAAATTATTAATTAGTATTTTTTTTTAATATTCGGTATAGCTTCATACTACCCTCAGAGTTTTCTTACTTCGCTCTTTCTTTCCAATAACATGGAGATAATTGTCAGTTGTCTTCTTCTTCTTCTCCTTCCCTATGAAGGAAGTCCTTGATTTAATTTCTTCTTTTAATTTGCGCTACAGACGTAGTAAGCTCTTTCTCATAACGCTGACGACAAAGATTGCGGTACCCTTCTGCCTTAGTATCTCTGCTACAAAATATTCAGAAGTGTTTCTTCCTTATCTCATTTTAGCCTTTAACTTCTGCGTTGGTCGGCAACGTTGCAATCGTTTATTATTCCGAGGCTGGGTTTATAACTAATTAAATGTTGGATCAAACCACAGCTCAAATCAGTGGTGGGTGTAGTTATCGAACTGCTTTATTAAGAATCACAAATTTGTTGTTCGGTTTGTGTTGGGAAAGAAACATCATTGTTGTTTATTTATTCCCCAAAGTACTTTTTGGGGAATGTTGCGGGAGTGACAGTCCTTGGCCGGATAAAAATCCGGGTCGTTCCGATATAAAGACCCGACTGTCGCGAGAACTATTGGATTTTAGTCGCCTCTTACGACAGGCATGCCTTACCGCGGGTAAATTCTTGAGCCCCTAAGTGAATTTCTTCAAATTATCGATGATTCGCGCCTAATTCACCAAAGATACCGAAAAGTGTTAATATGACATGCATGAGAAGCTGGCCGTCAGGGCTAATGAGAGGGTCTAAATGAGGCTAATTGCAGAAGGTTTCAAGACCAAAGCATACTAATGTGTGACCCAAAGAGCTGGCTGATGATCAGAATATGGGAACTGTTTGGAGCAAACAATTTCCAAGCCCGCTAAGTGGCAGTAAAAGTGGAACAGCAGAAAATGAGAAATTTGCATTCCCAACCGATGATGGTGGAATAGACGTTACATTACCAGACTATGAAAAAGTTCGAGTTGTTAGTGCCCAGTTAAACAATAGCAAAGCGGCTGCAGCAGTTATTTCAACGTCTTTTACGGCAGGCATGACTTACCGCGGGTAAATTCTTGAACTCCCGGTCAGCTGAGCTAGTCAAATACGGCTGCTAAGGACTGATAAGCTTTATATGTCGATTTCTAGGCAAATTATGGGTACAATCAAGCATGCAAAAAAGAAGGACTCCATAGCCTGCGCTATACAAGCCTGGATCAGTTTTCTTAATAAGATTAAGGCTAAGAATCAATGAACTAATTCGATTCGATTAGTGTGGTTTCAGACCTGCGAAATCTACGATTGACCAGATATTCGCCATGCACTAAAGCTTGGAACAGCCCTTGAAAAGACACTCCACCCCTTTTCAGACGAAAAGAAGATGGTTCTATGCCTTTATTACTGTATTTGGCATTCCTACAAAACTCATATGACTGTGTACATATACGCAAAGCCTTTCTCAGCCATTCGTTATCAAACAGACCAGATAGTTCTTAGGACGAATGATTAGCTGTTCAGTGAATCAAGGGACAGTAGCTACTGGGACAATGGCATGTTGTCCGAATGTATAAGAGTACTCCAGCTTTGAAATTATTCGATGTAGTACCCAGCAGACGAATATATTCATCACATTCGAATAGAGAGAGCGACCTGGTTGAATTTGTCTGCAATCAGCATCGAATGGTCAAGACAAGAAACGAGTGGCGCGCTGTGGTTGATTCTGATAGAATGGGGCAAACGGTACCTATACCATTGAACAAGAAGGAGTCCAGCAGCAAAACTATCTACTTTTGAATTTTATGAATGAAATGTATCAGAAGAGAGAGAAGCTGCCGCTTCGTATTATTTTCAAACATCTAACGAGCAGCAGTTGTACTCGTGTTTCAGCTCTCCCACCTTCCTTTCAGGTTGCTGATTTATGCACATTAATACTGCAACAACAAAAAACTCTAATTTATTAACACGAAATTGATGGTTTTTTGGCTTCACGCCGTCGCTAAATAATATACAATTAACTGAACTTCGATTGCATCTCCAGACGTCTAACAGCCGACCAAGAAATATTGCAGACACACAAGCAATTTGCTAATGATCAGCTGTTGACTGCCGCTCAGCGCTTTTATAGCTTGGAGTTGGCCACACAAAGTCAGTTGCGTTTCATTCAGTACCAGAACAGTGGCAGTCATTCAGTACAGGATGCGGTTCACTTGCATCGTGTTGTGGCTACTTCTGGCATTTTGCCATACACTCAACGCGCATTTAACCCAATGCAGTCAAGACGATGACGGCAGCTTTGCGAATTTTTCAAACCTCATCGATAAAGTACGGGCGGAGCGAAGGATCGAAACGCTGGTGGTCTTCAATTCTTATGCAACAGACCGAGCCTGTCTTAGCGATGGCACGCTGAAATCACTCGAGAGTGCAGGCATTACTGTTATACTACTGAGTGCCACATCAAACTGTCACCTGCAAGGCGCCGACGTCAATAGTGAACTGTTGATTGTGCGTTGCCTCTCTGGGCCCATACAACCACGACTCTTGGATAATATGATAAACTGTCTCGGTGTGGTACGTGATGTGCGTATACTCTTTATGTGGCATGACAACTATGCGCAGCAGACGGTGAGCAGGCGCAACGAACTACAACAGCAGTTGCGTGAACTCTTCCTGTACTGTGCGCGCGCGAAACTGTTGAATGTCATCAGTGTTTATAACGACTTCGGCAATGAGAAATACTACCACACCTACAGCTACTTTCCGAGTTTCCATTTGGTGCATAACACGCTGCAGGAGACTTGCTTCCCCAATCGTTTGAGGGATATGCACGGCGCCGCCATACACACTTTGCCCGATCAAAATGAGCCACGTTCGATAGTGTGGCGGGATCGTTTGGGACGAACGCAAATTGGCGGTTACATGGCGCGTTTAGTAGAGGCGCTTGCAAAGCATCACAACGCAACGCTCAGTTATCCGCGCGCGATTGTGCCGGATGTGACCTATGAGTATGATGAGATATTCAAAATGCTGCAGAATGAGACGATCGATTTGTTGATGGGCGTAACGGGCATGGGCTGGCGCTTGAATGCATCGCAAGTATCCACATCGGTGCTATCCTCCTTTTGGGCACCCATGTTGCCCGTGCCGCCGCTGCGGCCGACGCGCGATATATACGTGCTGATATTTGTCTCAGCCATTGGCGTTATTTTCTTGCTTTTACTGCTGACTTTCTCGTGTCTGCTCACTTGGGAGCAACTGTGCGCACGCCATCAATCTTCATTTCGTGAAGTGTCTTGCACACTAACGAGTGTCACACACCGCAGCCTACTGGGTCAGCCAACACACGTGCGTATCTCGTGCACTTTCATAAGGCGCTTCATTTGCATGCTCCTCTTCATGACTGGTATTTATATGAGCACCACTAGCAGCAGCTACTTGAACACCTACCTCACAAGTAGTCCCAAAAGGCAACGCGTCCTTACGTTTGATGAACTACTGCGCCACCCGACACGTATTAAAATTTCCCCCGGAGAATACAAAGGTTTAAAGATATTTGTGAGCGAAGCGTTTTTGGAAAAGTACAAAGGTGTATTCCTCGTCACGTCATCGGTGAATGATTACTACCAGCAACGAAAGTCGCTGGACACGAGCTTTGGTTATACCATAACGAACTCACTGTGGCAGGCGTTGGTGGAGTATCAAACTAAATTGGGCCGTCATCTGTTCTACATCAGCGAGGGAATGCATTTGGCGGCTAATCTACAATTGGGCGTACCCTTGAGCCCACATTCCATTTATAGGAGCGCGCTCAATGTCTTGATTCAAAACTCAATTAGTGCTGGGCTTATGAAGCACTGGGAAAACCTGGTCTACAGCGATATGGTCGCTGCGGGTAAGTTGAATTTAACGGTTGCAACGAGACCCATTCTGGCGAAAGGTCTCACTTTGGACGACCTGTATTGGATATGGTGGTTGTATGGCGTGGGCTTGATGTTGGCGCTTGTGGTGTTTCTCTTGGAGTGTTATGTGGGCAGAGTGGCAAAGAGTCGAAAACAAATTTAATTAAGAACACCGAGCTTGGGGGTAATTATGTTTGTTGTTGCTACCCACCTACCTAATATTTTAATAAACATATATGTTTTAATTAAACGAACTTTTGAATCACACCTTGGGTGTCGTCCTGAGCCTCAATCGGAAGGAACTACTTTAAGTTCTCACAGCAAACTAAGCGAAACCGCCACATTGCAAAATAGTGGAGCACCCATTGTATCAGCCAAGCAGAGATCAATTTTTCAGAAAGATACCAAAACCAAAAAACTTTAAGGATGGATCAAAGAGCAACGAATTGGTTTGCATCATCTAAAGCTAGTCAGTACAGAGCTGTCTAAGACTCATCAGGGGGCTAACGAAAAGTAGCTAAAATATGAACAGGGGTCACTCCCCCGTTAACTGCAAGAAAAGGGTAATCAACTATGAAGAGCCCAAGGCCCAAGGGAAGCACCATCCTTACATAGTAGAGAACTTGATAAACCGAGTCTTTTTTCATACACCAAGAAATCAACATCGAAGACATCAAGGTCAATGATCATCAAGTGCCTTCCGACACCAACTCAGATTCGGAATTTTAAGAGAGAACGAACCTAAAATATAGGGAGATGCACAGTCGGCATTGGAATGGATACGGGTATCTCCCTGAACAAAGAGGAGAAGGTTTTGATGGGTTTATAGATGGTAAATAAGAGAGATTTAAAGGATCTGTAACAGAGAACATAGCATGAATTGGTTCCAGGCCGATGCGAACAAAAAATAAGGTCAAACTTTACAAAAACGCAATTGGTGTATTTTAGAGTCTCTAGCGTAAGGTACACTGATGAGCTGTGAAGAAGAATAAATTCCACCAGGAGCCTCATATAAAGGGTTGTCCAACAGCATACCTCAAATGCTACAGACCACTACAGTCAACGCCATAAGCAAACCTGTGAAAGCAAATGATGAACGTTCTCAGGTTACGCCAGCATAACTCTCCAACTGAAAATATTAAGAAGAGCTCAGTCACTGCAGAGTTGTTCAACTCTTAATATATCTTTGTCATGTAGAGGTTTTGGCCGCGAGGCAATGGGATGTGTGGGTTAAACAGTAACATCCTCAACGAATGTCGGCCTAGAAATCCAACCTCTGCCTTGTCACTCGTCCCAATGCTAATTTGGGTTGAGTAGGCAGTAGAAAAATTAAGTGCTCTCCAAACGCTACCCGTTATTCCTAGGTTATGTCATGAGATAAGATAGTAATTGAGCTCAGAAAGTAATCGATTCCATATCAGTTAAAGGAGGCAATATAATATGAAGATATTAGAAGTTAGATGGGTCAGTGGAAGTAGGTTAAGCGGTGCCTACGTTAAATAAAAATAAGATTTCACCCAAAAGAACTATTCAAAAGGCAATGAGAGAATGCTAGGGAACCTTCTGTAGTAACGTACAAGGCTGTTCAGATGTGAATTGACTGAGTCAGCAGTCGAAAACCCGCAAGCCATTCTTGCGCAGTACAATCGTGTTAAGCTCGATACATACGGCCAACTCGCGATCGCTGACTTTTGATAGTATTATAATCACCGAATCGCAGGCAGTATACGAAATCATATTTATAACAATTTTGTCTGAATATAGAGTACATTACGTATATGTATTGGAATGGGGACACAGGCTAAATAATTTTTTATACGAAACCAAGTTAGAGTCATAACGCCTGCCTAAGGGACTATCGTCCTGGTTTACATGTAGACTAAAAAGTGGGCTGATGCGGAAAATAGTTAAGAACGTAGGAGGGAAGGAACTATTCAAAAATAAATGCTTGAGAAATGTTTCAATAAATCCTTTCCGGGGTAATGGAGCTCACACTTCAAGAGTGTATTTAATCAAAGGTCAATAGCAAACGACTCAATGAATCAGAGAAGGAACAGTCTAAAGACCATTGCCCTGCAAGTATGAGCATACACGATTGCCTAAGAAGGTGCTAATCATCCCTTTAATTCCACTTTTGATTTTATCACTGCCCAATGGGCGATACTTAATTAGCGCATCGAATACTCCCCTAACCAATTAAATACTTCTAACGGTGACTCTGCACTAGCGAGAGCTGGGAGGGAGTTATAGACACAGCCCTCACTGTAGCTCCACACATTTGTTGTATCATTTTACAGTTGACAACGGTGCACGCAGTGAGCTCAATTTTTTTTAAAATTCGGAGAATTGCTTCCTGCAGCTGTAGCCGAGAGCGAATTCGTGAATGCCGTTGGCGCCCTGCAAGAAGCATATATGATGGTGTAAGGGCCCTACTGACATTCTTTACCATCTCATACCAAGCCTTTTATTGTACTACGATATTATAACAACAACTTCAACTCAAATTTACGAAGAAATTACTAATCGCGAATATGAGAGAGCGTCGCAAATTGGATGCATCAATTGTCTACCAGCTTACCAAGTCGATGCGTGAAATTTATAAATCTGTGCAATCGACGTATCTTTGCAAACCCGCCATTTTGCTAGAGCCGTTAAAGGCTTGTACTTAAAGACTTCAATTCACTCCAAAGGAAAGGAAGTGTGTTCAGGTTTCAGGTTCTTCCTTCGCTCAGCAACTTCTGCAAAAGTCTCTTAATGGCATGCCCAACCTTTCCACGTATCTGTTCATTGGAGATGCTCCGTAAGAAATCCCATAATGTAGATATCTTCCTTCTTTTTAGCGCAGAAAGATCCTCAGTAATGAGCCGTATGAAATACACTAAGTAAGAAAGATTGGATTTACTAATGCCAAGTTTCTTCAGTACCATTCATTCCATCAGATACCAATCAACACTCACGCTCTTAACCAAATATGTTCTGCTAAAAGTCTAATTACTTTCAGCACCTCGCCACCAAATTTGAATCGTTAGCCAGAAAATCTTTACCCGTTACCCCTACTTTATTAGTTTTCGAATTAGCTCTCGCTTTATTGAACTTGCTAAGGGTAATGGAACATCGCATCGACATCACTTGGGTAGACTAGATAAGTACTCTCTCGTACTAGTTCGTTATTTATTCGCAAATCGCCAGTGACGAGAAAAGCAATATTCTCCCCAACACGTCAAGGCTGAGTTTCACTCTCGTAAAGTTAAGATATCCCAGTGGTTAAAGGCTGTCGCTCTCTTGCGTGAGACTCACGACTGTACTCTCACTGCAAACAAATATATTATTGTTTTCAATTCGGCGAAGTAGAAATTCTACATGCGCAAATGAACTAGTATTTAACTAGAATTGAGCTGACGCAGGGAATCGATTATTGGCAAGACATCGCCATGTTAAACATGCCACTCGCTGACACTGACGGACTAGTAACATTCGTAATATTTGTACAACCGTAACTTTCCTTACAGGGAAATTTCTTTAGCTCTTTGTTGGCGTTGTTGATCATAAGATAAACACAATATTGTTAATAACAAAAGAAAAAGTAGTTTTGCGCTTACACAATATGAGAACGCCTTCATTCTATTTCATACCTGAGTGATTGTGCAATCTTCAAAAATATTTATGAGACCACAAATCAAGTACGCACTGAGCTCGAAACAGTCTCGCGAGCACATTAGCCATCGGCAGTTCGAGTGAGCGGTGAAAAATGTCAACGAAACATCATTTTCTCTTGCTCTATGCTTTTTCACTACTCACGGCTTATTCAACACTCACCTGGAACCTGCCGCCGGAAACCCATATTCCGAATTTAGTGCAGTTAGTAAGGAAAATCAATTTGGAGCGAAAAATAGATGCAATTCTCATTATGAACGCCCTCAATACAAGGAAGTGCTGCCTCTCCGATGAGGACATTAAAATACTCAGCACGAACAGGACGGTTAGACTCTTGCAAGCGGAAACCAACTGCAGTCACTCTTTCGCTGACCTTAATGAGGATATGCTCTTCATACGTTGTGTGTCGGAGAACTTTGCACCAGAACAATTAGATCAAATGGTCGTTTGTCTAGAGAATAGACGTAATGTGCGGATGATGTTTATCTGGAGTAGCGAATACACGGAGGTGACGTCTCCGCAACGAGCAGAACTGATGCAAGAACAAGAGAAACTCTTTACATACTGTGCCTCTAAGCGCTTACTCAATGTGATCGGCATATATCGAGATTTCCTGCGTGATGGACACTACTACACTTACAGTTATTTCCCACACTTTCAGCTGCAACGAAAAACGTTAGCCGAGGATTGCTTTCCCGATCGTGTTAAGGACGTAAAGGGACTTGCCATACGCACAGTACCCGATCAACTCGAGCCGTGGAGTCTTGTTTGGCGTGAAGATAATGGCACAGTTAATGTTATCGGTTTTTTAAAGAAATTCCTACAAGAATATGCTAAGCGCATCAACGGCTCAATCTCCTACCCATTGCCAGTTGAGCCGGAAAATGTCCCAGACATGTCTACGCTGATTTCTTTACTAAAAAATGATACATTAGACATTGTGATGAGCTCAACCACGGGCAGAACATATGATGTTGATGTAACGGCTGTCATAAGTCTCGTCGATTTGACGATTATGTTACCCATTCCTGGGCAGATGATGGAGAGCGAGCTGCTGCCGTATCTCTTCAATTCGCTACTGGGCTTAGCTGCGCTCATACTACTCTTCGTTTTCGCCTTTCTACTTACCGCAGAATTTTTTCTTTTACAAGGTTACACCGCGACGGAGATACTGTGCTCTTACAGCGAGATACTCTTGAATGTGGTGCTTCGCAACTTACTCGGCCAAGCATCGTGCACACGTGTGAGTGTTTCGTCAAAGTTGGGAAAACGTCTCTTATTCATGGCACTCCTATTTACCGGCATCCTTATGAGCACCTTAATAAATGCCAGTCTTAATTCGTATCTGACCAACCCTATAAGCTATCCGCGCTTAAAAACCTTTGAAGATCTTATAAATTCAGGTCTAACGGTGAAAACAAGTCCAGATACTTATAGCACGCTCGATAACTACTTCACTGCAGATAATATTAATAAATCGAAGAGTGTATTTTCACCCGCAACTTCTTCTAAAGATCTGAATCTTCAGCGTAACTCCTTCGATCGTCGCTATGGTTATACACTCCTCAGTAGCCTATGGGATATTTTGGAAAGATACCAAACATTCTTGCCGGAGCCACTTTTCTACGTTAGTGAGGAAATTTTCATAGTAAAACGCCAACCCATGGCATTTCCAATGCAAAAATATTCTATTTTCAAGGAATCGCTGGATTTAATGATTGATAATCTACAAAGCGCCGGAATCGTCATATTTTGGAGCAAGCAGACGTATGAAGACATGATCGTAGCGAAGAAATTAAATGCCACACATCAGTGGAGAAAGATGCGCCGTGGATACTTAGGTTTTGAGGATCTCTACTGGTTGTGGTTCTTTTACATCTTCGGTGTGGGCATATCGATGCTGGTATTCCTCACTGAAATGTGGTTTTACAGTAGAACAAAGCAGAATGGAAAGGTGAAATGCTCAATAAAGAATTTTAATTTGAGGAAAGTTAAGCGTAAGAAATAAAGCAATTAAGCAATGAAGTTGATTCGACTAACAAATGAAAGACCAAATTCGATTCGAACCGAATATTAGATGCTGAGGTGAGATTTAAAATTAATTCACCGTCATTTTCTAAAAGCGCCCTCGTCCGGTTTGTGCTCGTAGTAGATCATGGAAGTTGTAAGTATAAAATCTATGAAATTCTGACCTCTCTCGAGTGGTTTCTCAGATAGACGTTTTTACCCAAAAGCCTACCCGAACTTTTATTCCACTTCTCAAATTCAAAACTTCAAAATGTCATGCGATCGCCCCTATGAAATATTTAGTTGCTCAATTATCGCTTTCTTTCGAATTTTCATAAGTATCGTTACATGGGAGGCGGGCGTGCAGTTGATCAGTTCTCATCGATCCATAGTTGAATGTCTGAGTTGCATCAAAATATCGTATTCCTCACTTGAGTTAACGTGGAGCCGACGGACGGGTGGAGAAACACACAGTTCGGACTGAGCCATCTACCGTTTGCCTTTTGAACAACAGCCAATTTTAAATTTAATAAGTGTCGACAACCGGATATCTATGAGAGAGAAGAATGGGAGTCGATGTAGGTGAACTAACCAAAAATTATAATTTTTATCATTATTTTAAGCAAGAATCTGGGCTCTCATAGATTACTTAACATAAAATTATTATTAATGTTAATCCATCTGAGTGATGTATTCTTCCTTGGGATAGAGCTCAGGATATTTTTACTTCCATCAAATGTGAGCGTTACACCTTTAGCCAAGCGTAGTTGGAACCCCTTTGGAAGCAGTTTTCATTACTAAGTTTTTCTGGGACGAGAGTAATGAGCTTCTTCATTATAAGAGCCACTTCCGACTTACCATAGAAGCTTCTAATCAGGTTAAGTTAGGTTAGGCTTTTATGCTAGTAAGTGATCTACTCATTCTTTGTATGGCCGAATAGAAGTTCAACTCAATTCGAGGAGAAGCACGTAATTGCCAAGGGCACATAAACGTTTCATAAAAGTTGCAGAGACAGCGGAGTTATTCTAACGCCTCAATCGTGCCCGCCACCGTAGATATTTTGTAAGGCTCAATAGCTTGCCCTTCGAGATAGCGAGAGCCAAAATTTGGTGTATTATTCTTATTGATTTCACTGTACAGGGCGCTTAGAGTCTCTGGTATTCTTATCGACTATTTCCCTCTTCACAATGCTCTACTGTCGGCTCACATATCGTCGGTATAAATATAACAACTTCCGTTCTGTTTACAGACTACATGGGCTCGGCATCTCCTCTCTTTTACTGTAGTCTGAAACCTGCACTCTCAGAGAAATTCCATAAATCATTGTCAAAACCTTTCTACCGAAACCTGCGAGTACCAACGCTTCGGCTATTGTCATCGTCCACACTTCTGCGCCATACATTGATGCTGGAATGATGGAGAACTTGTGGAGTTCAATCATTCTTCAACGAAAGAGACTTTACCTTAAATTACCTACTCAGTCGCAAGCAGCACCTTTAAGTAGGATTAATTTTGCGTTAAATTTTCTAGGCTGACAATGTAGTTGGTATTTTTGCTGGGTTCTACAGATACACACAGAATCGTCCACACCCTCAAAATTATAACTGCTAACATCGGTCGCAGTGTTTAACTACTGGGGAAAGATGAAGAACTGCTGCTCGCAACTGACAAGGTAATCGGCCGAGCGGTTATTAATTACGTTACACCGACATGGACGCCGAGACCAGAGAGATGCAAAGGAAGAAGACACACGTCTAACAAACCAGAGTCCTGAAGACAATAACGGAGAGCTCTAAGATGTACTACATGTAACCCCTTCACTCCTTACACTGTGAAACATCTATGTTCCTTATTGAAGTGCTTAATATTAACCTGTGTAAATAGTATCTGCTGGGGTGTTTCCAAAGATAGCATCCAAACAAACTCTTCCTGAAAGCTAAACCCAGAACACTTTCTTCATACTAGCTGGCCCAACGTTTTTATAAACTCTCTACTCGTGAATGGCGTGCTCGGAATACAACCATCAGTCAGAGCAGACCAAGAGTAAAACTGGCACAGCTAAGATCTGGATACTTCAGCTGACTTGGCCCCGACATACTTAACGTATGAACCACTTCTTTGCAGGCCCTTTAAAACCCACTTATTTAACACCCCTTCTACCTCCGCTATGAACCCGTCGAAATAGCTCGTTTTCAGTAACACATTTTAAATGACCCCGGTCGATGGGAGCTTTAACATGATAAAGAGGAGACTTGGTCGATGGCAATTGGCGCAGAACGTAGGGTTCCAGCCTTTAGTGTATTTGGCTGCATATAGATTTCATATGTCAAGTATACGATCGGCTTCGGCACTTTGCTGTTATTAGGGAGAGCAATTGGTATAAAAAGTTCGCCGTGGTCGGGTACTGGAACGCTTATTTCAGCTACACCTTATTAAGCTCTTCACACTTTTTCTTCGATTCGGAAAAGTGATTTATCACTAATAGAATTATGTAATGGGCATTTCTACCAGACCCAAAGTCATTAATCATCAGAGCACTTCAGCCGAGTGATTTCAATTGTCATATAATTTGAGTATGGAAAGACTAGTGAAGCTCTCAATTACATTGACGAAAGGCATGATATAATATTTTCCTCCCTATAATTTATTGTAAATTTGGGAAATTCAATGCATAGCTCACGGCAGTTTCACAATTTTCTTCAAGGCGAACAGTGTCAACACGCTGCAAAAATGTTAGCTTCACGAAAAAGTATTTTGCTACTCTTAACTTTCCCACTGCTCATCGCACAATCGACAGACTCGTACACTTGGAACGTCCAGCAGGACACAAACTTTATTGATGTGGGGCGAATCGTAGGTAAAATCAACTCGGAACGTAAAATAGATACGATCCTTCTTATGAACGCGCGCAATACCAGCAAGTGCTGCCTCTCCGATGAGGACATTAAAATTCTTAGCGCCAATAATACCGTTAAACTATTGTGGTCGGGAAGTAATTGCGCGAGCTCCACCGAGCGCCTCAATTCGGAAATGCTTCTCATACGTTGTGTGCCGGAGAACTTTGCAGCAGAACATTTGGATCAAATGGTCATTTGCCTACAGAATAGACGTAATGTGCGTATGCTGTTTATCTGGAGTAGCGAATATACGAAGGTGTCGCCGCAGCAACAAGTGAAACTGATGCAGGAACAAGAGCAACTCTTCAAATATTGTGCCTACAGACGTTTACTCAATGTGATTGGCATTTACAGAGACTACCTGAGCGAGGGACACTACTACACTTACACTTATTTTCCACAATTTCAGCTGCAACGAAAATCGTTAGCCGACGATTGCTTTCCCGACCGTGTTAAAGACATAAAGGGTCTTGCCATACGCACTGTACACGACCAACTCGAACCCTGGAGTCTGGTTTGGTACGATCGTATGGGCAATGTAAAAATCACTGGATTTCTGACAAAAATCTTAAATGAATTCGCCGCCAGAATAAATGGTAGTATTACCTATCCGGTAGCAGTCCAACCGGGGTCTTTCACTGGCATGGGAGTCTCAGTGGCTCTACTACAAAATAACACCATCGATATAATTACGGGCGCTACTTCAAATACAACCCACGATATAGGCTACTCCGCCGTGCTATTGCAATTGGATTGGATTTTTATGTTACCCGTGCCACCACAAATACCCGACAGCGAGCTTCTCTTATATCTCCTTAATTCAGTGCTGGGTTTGTTTCTGTTAATCTTCCTCTTCGTCTTCGCTTTCGTGCTCACTTGGCAGAATCTGCATTTGCGACGTGCTTGCTCAGTTCGATTGAGCTTACACTTCTTTTGCTGGATTCTCATCAACGTGGTGCTACGAAGTGTGATCGGCCAACCATCGTGCACACGCGTACGTGTTTCGGCGAAATTCCTCAAACGTTTTTTGCACATTCTTCTGCTATTCAGTGGCATTTTTATGAGCACCTTGATATCTGCTAGTCTTCAGTCGTGTCTCACAAGTCCGTTAAGGCGTCCGCGTATAAACACATTCCCAGATTTAATAAAATCCAGCATATCGGTGAAGATTAGTCCTGGAGGCTTCAGCTTACTTGACGGATTGATCAGTAAACGATATGTTCGGGATCTAAAAAAAGTATTAATTGTCAACACCTCCATTGATGAGCTGCAACGGCAGCGCACCAACATGGATCCTCACTACGGCTACACTTTATTCAGCAACCTGTGGTCTGTTTTGGCAAGATATCAAGCCAACTTACCGCAGCCGCTCTTCTATGTGAGTGACGAGATCTATGTCACCAAAGGCATGCCGATGACCATACCCATGCAAAAGAATTCCATCTACGAAAATGCGCTTAGTCTGATGATAAATCAGTTTCACAGCGTCGGACTGATCGAGTTGTGGCACAGGCAAATGTATGATGATATGGTGGAGGCAAGAAAGCTGAATGCGACCTACCAAGGGCAGCAACCGCGGAATGGAATATTCGACTTGGAGGATTTCTATTGGTTGTGGTGCGTCTATGGCGTTGGTGTGACCATATCAATTTTGGTATTTTTCGCTGAAATTTGGCATCACAGAAGGGCGATGAAAGAACGGGATGGTGCAAGAAGACCAGGCGTCGCCTGCCTATCAATTGAAAAGTGAAACATATAAATTTTAATGTCAAATAGTTTTCGTTTAATAAAATGTTCTCTGGTGTTTTGTCTGTCTTAGACTTTGGATTACAATTTCTCAAAGTCCTTAAGAAGGGCTCAAGTGACATGGGTTTGGTCTATGCTCTTTGTCTTTTCCGGTAAAAGTGTTACGGAAGCGTTACGAAAAGCGTGATCGGGAGATGCAAATGAGAGTTGAGAGCGGATATATGCATTAGGGAAGATATAAAAAGAGAGATATAGTTGAGTTGACGGACTCACTCTGGAGTATCGGAATTTATTTGACCGAAGCCTCACTGATTTTGATACATCTTTGAGAGTGACGTCAATTTGTAATGACGGCTTATTGCCTCCTTACCAGTTTTCCAAATTTTTCTACCGAAAGACTCGGATCAGATCCAAGAAGAGATTTATAGTCTTAGTAGGTGTGCTCCGAATATCTACAACAATGCATAGGAGTCGTGCCCACTTTTGCAAGTCCCTCTGAACTTCTGAACTTTTTGTCACAAACAAGTCGAAGGTGAAAATATTTTGATAAAAGCTTTGGAGTCTTATATTTCCTGGCGAAAAGAACAAACTCAGTTTTCTCTGGGATAAGCCTGCCATATTAGCCCACCTTTCTTCCCACCTTAGTGCATGATATCATAGCTATCAAACCGTCTTGAACAGAATATCTGAACTTGTGAAAGTGCTCTTCTAACGCGTTTAGAGGTTCTACTCAAAATGGGCTCGACCAGTAATCGACACCAACTCGACACTGTTCGCTGGTATCGAACAATTTACGCCCTTCTTTACTTGGAATTTCGCACAAAGACCAATTGGTTCAAGAAATGAAGTCTCATGACCATCCGATGGGATTTCACTTCGCTTAATGGGCTGAAGATTGCTTGGCAAAAGATGAGTTTTTTGTATGTAAATATCATATCTTCCGAAGAAGCTCATGCTAACCTCGATTCCTAAGCTAACAGGCAAAAGGGTCGCATTTACGGTCGGAGGAAAAAAGATACGTAGCTTTCGAAGATCCAATGCTTCCTTAACAAGTGACTGTTTGTTGCCGCATATAGACCAGTGTATCCAGAGATTGTCATGGACGATGGGGTTTCAACAGGACAATGGCTTATGCCACATAGCCATGGCTACAATAGATCTTTCGCTCATGATTAGAAGCTGTAAACTGAAGTCGACAGTAGAGCCGAAGATGGCTATAGAATCGAAAAGAGTTGACAAAAGGGATTGACAGACAGAAGAGAATGGAGTACTGGTAGACTAGCCTCGGTAACCTTACAATGAAGTGATCCACCATTACGTGGAATGTTGGGCATTTTAAAAAAGGCAAGCTCATCGAAACATATTCAGCCGGGTCTCTTTAAAGGCGAATGATGCCATTTTCATAAACGCTGAGAACAGTTCCAAAATCAGAAACTGTATATGTGTATATGTATATTTCCGATAATTTGATTGATTAATCATCAGGCTTTCAATGAAATCAAAGGAATCTTATCAGATTCCTCATTTTCGTCGAATTATTTACGTTATGTAATAAATACGAGTATATTTAATGACACCTTTCAATTACACATACATACATACATACACATATGCACAACCAACAAGGAAATCAAAGCTTTGAAAACTATAATTTTATACGTGAGCTTTTCCGAAATTACTCCTGCATGATTACTCATCGAATAAATTCATTAACAGTAAAACGAGTTTCCTTGATTAATTTGGAATCTACATAAGAATTCTAGACTCCAGTTGACTTACACAACACCAGTAGCCTTGTGGAATTTGCAGAGGCGAGTACGAGTGCACGGCAATGCTTACCAAAGCCAATATTTTATTAATCTGCAACCTTCAACTGCTCTTCGCTTATCCAGCGAGCAATTGGACCGTTCCAGGGGTTTCGAATGTAAGCTTCATTGTAGACAAAATCAACGCTGAGCGCAGAATTAATGCCTTTGTTATCATCAACGCTTACGACACCAGCGAGAGTTGTTTGAGCGATGAAGATGTGAGAAGACTCAGTGCTAACACTACCGTTAAATTATTGCGACCCTCCAGTAAGTGCTCAAACTCCAGCGGCGACGATAATAGAGAATTGCTTTTGATACGCTGCATACCGGAGAACTTCAAACCCGAGCTATTCGAAGCAATGATCGGTTGCAGTGCAAGAAAGCGCGACATACGGATGCTCTTCATTTGGAACAGCGAGTATGCCACAGCAACAATGCAAAGTCGTTTGAAGTTGGATAAACAGCAGAAGTTGATCTTCGAGTATTGCGCAAAGATGAATTTGCTGAATGTGATTGGCATTTACAGGGACTATCTGAGCGAGGGACACTTCTACACCTTCAGCTATTTTCCAGACTTTCACCTTGAACGAAAGCCGCTAAGCGAGGATTGTTTTCCCGATCGTATCAGCGACCTCAAAGGCACCGCCATACGCTGTATACCCGACCAAATCCATCCGTGGAGTATTGTTTGGGCCGATCATAATGAGAACGTACAGATCGGTGGTTTTCTCACCAAACTTTTGCAGCAATTTGCAACACGCAATAACGGCACACTCACCTTTCCAGTGACAGTGGTACCAAATCGGTTTGTTGACATACAATCGTGGTTGCCGCTCTTTCAAAATAATACCATCGATATGGTTTGCGGTATTATTGGTTCACTTGGTGAGAATCCTTATCTCGATGAATCCGCCACGATTTTCCCAGTAGATTGGATCATTATGTTGCCCATACCGCAACGTATGGCGGACAGCGAGGTTTACCTGTATATGCTCAACTCAGCGCTGGGCTTGTTTCTACTCATACTACTCTTCGTGTTCTCTTTTGTGCTCACTTTGGAAAGCCTACTGCTACAGCGTCATACAAAGCGTGAAGGCTGCTTGCTCTTCATCTCGTTTCTCACCAACACGGTGCTGCGTGGCGTTATTGGTCAACCAACCAGTCTGCGTGTTCCTCATTCTGTTCGGCACTTGAAACGTTTTCTATACATCACACTCTTCGTAAGTGGCATTTTCATGAGCACATTTATATCTGCCAGCCTACAATCGTATCTTACGAGTAGTCTACGATATCCTCGTATAAACAGTTTTGCCGAGCTTAGGCGCGCAGGAATGAAGGTGAAAATAAGTCGTTATGAATATACATTACTGCCCGCATATTTCGAGCCGAAAACTCTTAAATGGTTGGAGCGAGTATTTACAGTGGTACCCTCATTTGATGAACTACAAAATCAGCGTATAAATTTGAAAAACCGCTTCGCAACAACAATAATCAGTCCTTTGTGGTCTGTTGTGTCGCGATATCAATCGAACTTACCACAGCCAGCTTTCTATACTAGCAAAAACATTTACATAAGCAAAGGTATCCCCATAGCCGTTCCAATACAAAAACATTCAATCTATAAGAAAACGCTGAATAAGATGATCTATAATGCGCACAGCGTGGGCCTAACACAACTATGGTCCAATCAGGTCTACGATGATATGTTGGCGGCGAAAAAGTTGAATACAACCGTTAATCTGGTGAGTAGAAGGAAAGAACAACTCGAGGTGAGGGACCTCTATTGGTTGTGGTGGTTGTATGGCGTTGGTGTGCTGTTGTCGACTTTGGTATTTTTCGCTGAACTTTGGTATCATAAAAGAAGCACGAAGAAGGCTAACCGTGAGCAGAGTGAAGAGAATGAGCGGGTTGAGCAGTATGAACTGAATATGCAGACCTTCAGGAGAGTTGCTTTAAGGCGCCAATTGCGGGATTAGTTAGCATTTTCAGCCACAAAAATTAGGTTTCTAATTACTCTAGATGAGTTGATATTGTAAATTTAATTGCATTAATTAATAAAATATGTCTGGATCAAAAACCTATAAAATTATGTAAATACATATGTTTGGCTCAAATATTTCGCCAGTTGTTCATAATTGAGAGAAAAAATATTTTACACACAGATCATTTGGAAAATCCTCAGGTAGTTCTGTGTTTTGAAATTCCAAAACTTTTTTTTTAAATTCTGTGTGCAATTTTTGCGGATTAACTTTTCGGATGGGAAAAATAAAAGTGAAAAATTGTAGTACTTTTTATGCGATATTTCGCATTTGCATCTTGATTATTTTCTCCGAAAGTTAACGATACAGACTACAGATGGCGCTGTGCAATGTTCAGTGACATAATTCGGTAGATGGCGCCATACATCAATCGAGACTGTGCCCATTTTGCCAGATGCCTTTTCCACATCGTCATCGTCTACTGAGCAAATTAGAATGAACTCGGATAATCGCATAATGGTTCTCAGTCTCAGTCATCGGCAATTCGTGAAAACAAATTCCGCACGATGATCGTTAACGTGATTATTTTTCAAGAAAAGAAATGAGGTTATATTGCTTGCAGACTTTCATTTGAAAATATTCATTCCAAACAATTCATTCATGCCTCCGAAGCCAGTAATCCATCCCATTACCGACATATCCCAGGCGGGGAGGAGAGGCAGTGTCTGTATTCACTGCATTATGTCAATACCATCGTAGATCTTATACAGTTCATTGCTCCATCGTTGATGGTATTTCCCGGCGCTATTAGGCAAAGGCCCAGAAATCATTCACAAAACATTTCTCCTGAAAACTTCTAGCGCAGGACGTAGAATGACTGACAACGAGTACGTGAAAATCCAGATGCTGGGATATCCAATTCTAATTTTCACTTGGCCGCCCTCAAGCCCAGCGCATGACCTCACTATTAGGTAGGCTACGATAGAATTGCTTAGAGGCAAACATCAAGCGACTCGCTATATAAATGTCTTTCAATTTATACACAACAAGTGCAGGAAATGTACGGAATTTGCAGAGATTGTGACTCACGCAATCTGTAAGTGCCCGGCGTTCGGGGGACGGGACTTTCAACCATTAACGGAAAGCCCAAAATCGACAACTTCGGTATCGGCAATGTCGGTCTGACTTCACGGCAACTTAATTTCTTCCCGCCCAAGGCGCCAAGTGGTTTGGTTATCAAATGCGTCTTGTTCACGACATTCCTCACGTTAAAGGTATATCAGTATCTTGAAGGAAGATATATATATTTATAACCACTGAAGCAATTTTTGGCGAAGCGGTTATGGGTTTCTATGGGAACTTTTTATACTTCATGCCGGAAATATACTCGGAGGGGTTTGCAATCCCTGCCTAAAGGCGAACGCAATAAACTTTATGGATATTGATCAGAATAGGTATCGAACCTTAACCTCCGAATCTAGTCACTAGGTCGGGCTAATAAATACAACAAAGAAAGCTTATTTATGCATATTTTGATTTATTTCGAAAAATACTAAACATAAATAGCCACTAGAGTCTTAAAGAAAGAGAATTCCTGCTTCCGCTCGATTCATTCTCTGGCGGTAACTGTTCTTTATTTTGAACAGATAAATCTCCGATGCAAACGCAACACTGCCCAGTGCCAAGCCACACAACAGCGCGTAAAATGGCAGCTGCATGTCCTCTATACGAATCTCATGGAATCGCTCTCTTTGGTTAGTCTCTTTAAGCGAGAGTTGCTTGCTCGCCAACAAATCGATAAATGTCATTGTGCGCCAATGTTCCAGCAGACCAGTTTCAATCACACGCAAAATCAATTTATTTAACGGTGCCATTAAATAAGAATTCTCCGCCAACGCCAAGCTCAACCCTAACATACTGTACAGTCTAAGAGTTGGTGCCAAGCAGTATAATTTGCGCTCAAAGGTTTGTTGCTGTGCGCTAAAGATCGACCACAACGACTCGGGCATTGTGTAGGCATAACTCGTGTCGTACGCCCTCCGATGACGTTGGAAAACCGCCGTGTCTTCAATTTGCAAAACCGGTTTAATTGTTGTATTGTAGTCAGGACCAAATAATTCCTGTACCAGTCGGAGCTCGTGACGATCGAACATGAGCTTCAAATTACGGCGACGCATATCGTTGAAAGTGAGTATGTCATGTTGTAGCGGTGGACTGGTAAAGAGCGTTTGAAAGTAGGCTGAATACATGTTGGTAACGAAGAAGCCCAACATGAGCAGGAATGTGTAGAGAATCTTCAGCGAAAGTTTCGAATGAGGTCTTATGAAAAAAGAGAGACCGAAAACGCCGCGAATAATGTTTTCATTCACTAAAATATTTAACAAATCGTAGTCAGCGTAACTTCTGCGGCATACACAATTCATAACGGTATCCAAGAGAGAGAAGAGGAACATGAGCAGCACCAAGACGTTGATTACTTGCTTTGTGACGACAATCTTGTATATCTCTGCGTACTGCAGCGGCTGCGGACAAGGTAGCATAACAAACCAGGAATTCACCTCCAGCGGATATGTCAGTAAATGATAACTGTTTGTCATTTTAAAGGACGCCGGCACCAAAGTGATGGCCAAATCCAGCGTGCCGTTAGCGACAAGCTCCAACAGTGTAGTTAAATGTATAAACTCGCCCGGTGAAACTGGATATAGGAAGCGAAAACTCACATTATATTTCTCCGCGAAGGTGTTCACTAGGTAACCCACATAGCCACTCAAACGCTGCACGCCTGAGGAATCCACAATAATTATGCAACGTGGCATATTCTGTCCGGGCAATGTAAGAAAAGTTTTGCCTTCGAAGTCCTGTTGTTTTGTTGGAAAGTACCAACTCGTGGTGTTCAAAAGCTTAAGGCGCCAGTGACTGTGGTGAAATGGTTGATAACTGAGGTAATGTGTGGATGTGACGCTTTTGTTTACGGCGCCATAGAGACCAATTACATTCGTCATATAATGATCCACCAAATAAGCGCTCAGTACAGCCAAGACGGTGGCCGAGGGTGCTGCCTCCGCAAAATATAAAATAATGCGTGTTTGACGTCTGTGTTGCAAGTACTCGGCTAAGACGTTGAGCAGCGTAAGTTCCAACTGCGTGTGCGATAAACAGACAATCGCCAACAGCTTGCTATTGAAATGTGTCTTCAGCTTCTCTCCCGTAGCGTTGTCCGTCGCTGCTATCAAAGGTATTTCCAAGTTCTTTGTCGATTCGCGCATGTTGAAAGAGCTCCCATTGGCTTTTCCTAGTAAGAATATTGTTTCGAAAGGCGCCTCTTTATATACTCGTAGTACAGTGTTGTGAAGGGGACCGTCTGACAGTTGAACGTCCGGCGCTGGTAAATGTCTCATTGCTTTATTACCGTTAAAATAATAGAGTGTTAGCACAATGAGCGGGTAATATGACATTTTTGCTCGACGTTCAATCAACTATTGACGAGTTAAACTAAATAGTTTGCAATGCTCAAGTCAGTCAGTGGAAATTCTCTAATGCCAATGTCCCTTTGTAGCCCTACGGTCATTAGCATGCCATACATACTCCATTGCTCAGCCAGTCAGCGAGTCCCTTGAGCGCGATCAGGTAACGAAAGTAATCTTTATTACCTCAGTTCATCGTTTTTCGGTATGTGCGTCATTATAATGTGGCATTTAATTCCAAAAAGTCTTCATGCAGTATACTGGTACATATATATTTGCATATTTCTGCAGTTAGTTGTTTTTAACTTCAACAAGTTCGAATATATATACATACGAGTAGAGAACGCCTCAAAGAAGTTTTGTCTCACCATTTTGAGAGGGGGATACTACTGTCTTCTCCAATTACCGCGCGATAAGCCTTCTCAATATTTCATAAAGTATTAAAACCCGCCGTCAGCAAACTGATTAAACCTTTAGACTAGGAAAACCCACAACTGTCCAGATTTTAACCATACGCCAACTTTTGGAACCAAAAAAACATGCGCATACCATCCCTTAGCCGACTTAACGAAGAAAAGAAGTTGCCGCTACGCCCAACCAACACCAAAAGCTCTGTCACGATCGGGAAGGCTCTCTTTGAATCATTCAATACCAAACGGGGTTACAGTTATTCCGTATCGTGTGACTTCTTCTATCTAAGAATCTGGAGAAATTAATTTGTGAACCTGGAAGTGAACGAGGACAAAACGAAATATGTCCTGTCATCAAACAAAAGGTCCTCACATTTTCAGTCCTAACTTTGGAGTTGTAGATAATTTCGTCTATCTAAGAACCAGCATTACCACCAATAATAAAGTCAGCCTTGAAATCCAGTGCAGAATCACTATTGCCAACAGGTGCTACTTTGGACTGAGTAGGCAATTCGAAAAGTGCAGTCCTCTCCCTACGAACGGAAACCAAACTATAAAAGACGCTCATCGTTCCCGCCCTACTATATGGTGCGAAAGCATGGACGATGACAACATCTGTTGAGTCAGCTCTGGGAGTCTTTGAGGGAAAATTTTTGCGAACGATTTATGGTTCTTTGCGCATTGGCAACTGCGAATATCGCAGAAGATGGACTGATGAGCTGTACGAGATATACGGCGGCATTGACATAGTTTTGCGTATGAAGAGACAGCGGCTGTGCTGACTTTCTCATCTGGTCTGGACGGATGAAAGCACCCCTGCTTTGAAAGTTTTCGATGAAGTACCAGCCCCTTTAAAGCAGAAGTTCAGGTCCGAAGGACCTCGTTACACTCGGACATTAAGACATAAAGTTCACCTTTTTTGAGTTCAAGGCCTTATGAACAGTAAAGGGAATGAAAAGAACTATGCTGAACTGTCTAAAAAATAGTCATTGGAGAACAGAACGTATATGTCGGTCGGTTCTATGGAGGGGAAGTATGAAACTCACCCAATAAAGCTTGCTCAAATTTTTGCCTGGTCATAAAAGATGACTAGTCGTATCCCGAAGATAAATTCTGAACATTTTCAAAACTCATCAAACACTTAGTATCAACTTGTTTGCCAGCAATTCAGGCTTTGAAGTCATTTGTGCAAGAATATAGGAATATTGAATATTATCGAGTTTTTATTCTCGTACTCAATCAATGGCTGTGATGGATCGCTTCAAAAATTGTTCAATTTTGTTGAGCTTCAGTCAATATTTTTATAATTTTTGCATTAATTCTTATGGCGGCTTTTTTTATTGACCAGTTTCTTTTTAAATGATACCAAACTGTCATCTGAGCAGTGCGTACTGCCTCTGCTCTCTGCATTTTGAGTGGCAGGTCGCCCAGAATGAGGTGCATCACTGACATCGAAATTTCCGGAAAGGTTTCGAGAAAACCACTCCTCGTTCCAGCACTCGCTTTAAATACAAATTAACTTTTCACTTGCATAGCGATTTGCAGAAATGTCCTCTAGAAATACAACTTTTATCTTGTCCGAAATCAGTGTATCCACACCCTGTAGTGAGAGGTACCTCGAAAGTTTGATCGAATACTGGAAAGGGCACTCACGCACTTTGTGTCTACCCTCGTAGTTTGTACATGATATTTTATATTAACTTTGGTACGTAGTATGCAGGTATTTACTAGGAGGAAAAGACCAGCACCCACTAAAATGTATGCCGGTCGGGTAAGTGTGACGAGTTGAGCCAATGTTTGTACGTCTGGTTGTATGCAAACTTGTCCCTCAGCTTTTGAGATATTCCAACCAAACTGGTCATCCGTCGGAACCGACCAGGTCGACCCATTACAGCATATATATATATATATATATATATTGTACGAGGAATGTTTCAGATCGGAGATTTCAGGTCACAAATTCGTCAAATAAATCATCTGCAGATGCCTATATCATGCAGCTTCCACACAACCGATTTGTTCAGGTATGAGATTTTGGATCAAAAAAGCATCCATAAGCGTGAGGTTGGGTATTCTGCACACGCATATAAAAGTCAACATTATAACGGTAAATCATCGAAATTGGACTACTTCAATATATAGCTCCCCTACAACCGATTTGTTCAGATTTGAGATTTGTTCACTATGCGAGTTGATATTTAATCCTATGGTCATGGAAGATATGAAGAGTTCGGCATGTCCGAAGACTCTTCTCTTTCTCGTTTTCTATTGTAAAACTACGTACATATATATGACGGAATTAACAATAGTTCAGTCATTTTGTGACTTCCAATTTGTTTTTGTTAAATATAAAAAAAACCAAATCCTTTGTAATTTCTTTATTAGTCTTTCTTTCAAATTTTAGAGCGATTGTCTAAAGTGGAGACGAGAAAACGCAAGATAGCTGAGGGTGGTTCCAACACCAACGCAAACAGAAATTAACCATGTGATTCTCTTCGGGTTTCGGCGTAATTTACAGTCAAAACAAATATTCAGTGAATGTCAAAATGCATATAAAATGATTGGACCGTCTTTAAAGACTAATTCTAAGTGGTTCTGAAGATTCCAGGCCGGATATTATCCCATAGAAAACGAGTCCCGAGAAGGTCAAGAGAAATCATCCACTCCTGAGGTCACTGTAGCACTGTGAATGTCCAAAGTTGACGAAGACCCACGATTGACACAAGAAATGATTGCTAATGAGCTGGGCTTGAATGTCATACGTTGTGAGTATTAAGTAATCATGTGGGATACAGGAAGAAATCTGCTCGATGGGCAACACGAATTTTAAAAGAGACCCAAAACGAGGCTCCAGTGAATTTTGCTAAATTTTTCATAAGCAAATATGAAAATGGTCAGTCTAGCAACTCGAGTAAAGTTGTTACAGGTGACGAATCTTGGTTATATAAGTACGATACAGAAACCTAACTGCAGTCCATGGTATGGCCCCCAGCATGAGCAAACCCACCGGAAAAATAGAAGCAACAAAAATCAGCAGCAAAAGTAATGTTGTCAGTTTACTTCACGCGATCTAAACCCGTATTCCACTGGGAAACACCAAAGAGTTCTTACAGAAAGTTTGCAGAAAACAGGAAGAAGTAGAATTTGTGGCGCTACTTTTTACATCATGACAACGCGCCATCCCACACAGCTGAAATAACGAGTAATTTCATTGAGATCTCTGGGAACGAAGAAATACGTCCAGCACCACATTCGCCGGATATAGCACCTTGCGAATTCGGGTTGTTTCCAAAAATTAAGAGAAAAAATTGGAAATAATTAAGGCGGTTAATGCTAAACTGGATGAGCTTAAAAAACAAGATTTTTTAAACTGTTTTTAGAAGTAGATTTATTAGCTTTAGAAATGCATTGAAATCAATGGCAATTATGTAGAGAAGTTAAAATAGGACAAAAATTACGAATAAAAAGAACTTTTTTCGGCTCAACTTACCGAACTTTTGTCAATTCCTTCGTCTATGACGGAAATATTTAAATGATAAACCTACTTGAATAAGCGTGTTATAAAAAATTCAAGAAAAAACACCCACACTCGTGTCAAATGACATGAATCGATTGTGATTTCATTGAAAACTCTGCAGACACTTCACTTGCAAAAATATGCACATCTACAGCTGTGATCATAATCTTAGTAGCGTTGAAAAAAAAATTTATGCAGTTACTTACCAAAACCAGTTTAATTTTCATTTTTAGTAGCTAAAAGACTAATTAAAACTAATTAAAAAAACTGCAGGCACTTGATTATGAAAAACTAAAATAATAATACTTTTTACGAAAATCTAAGCTTCCAAGCGGTCAAAATCATAGTAGCGTTACCGTTTATTGGGTATATTTTACATTCTTTACATCAACCCACAAATTTTCTATTCGATTAATGTCAGGACACTCTGGAGGCCATTCCATAACATTTACTCGGTTGTCTCCAAACCACTTCTTTGCAAGCTTGCTAGTAAGCCGCGGATCGTTGTCCTGGCATTTCCTCGCTAGCATATGGGAACATGACCTCCTGTATGATTTGGGCGTATTGGGCAGCATTCACGGCCTCCTTGACCCAATGAATGGGTTCAACTCTATACCACGAAAAGCATGCCCCAACCATAATGCTGGATCCACCATGTTTTACCGTTTAAGTGGTAAGTTGGATGGACGCCTAACAAACTGCCTTGAACCTTTCCTACCAAAGCGAACAATTTTTGCCTCGGCAGACCATAAAATGTTACGCCATTTGGTCAAAGACCAAGTCAAAAGATCTTTGGCGAAACGTAATCGTTTGACCACATGCTGTTTAATCAGCAAAAACACTTTTCTGGGGCTCCGAGCTGACAAATCGTTTCCCCGTAAGCGTCGGCGGAGAGTTTCAACGCTGGCTTTCAGATTTAGAAAATTTTTTTTTTATTTCGATTAATATTTTATAGCAGACTTAACCAATTGAGTGGGCATTACACGTTTCCGCACGCCTTTTTTTGACACCCGGTTTGTATTTTATAGCGTTTCGAACCATAGTGGAGGAGCAATCAATAATGTTTTGCCCTTCTCTGTAGGTTTTTCCTTCGCCAATCAACTTTTTATTAAGAGCCCGTATCTGCGGTGTACAATTCTTGTTTCTTGACATCACTACATGGAGCATGATCGAAATTCCCACATTAGAAAACAGAATACTCTTAAAATTTTAGTCCCAACAACAAAAAGAATTTTTTTGTCCCAACAACAAAAAGAATTTAATTTTTTTGAACTATTCTTGATTGCGCTACTAAGAATTTGACTGATCAGCAAGCACATTTTTCCTCAAAACTTAGCCGATTGCAACAACAACAAAAATTCTAGCTTAACAAACCAACCGACATGACGTTCGGCTTAACCTAACGGTATTTACAGTGAAAGCAAAAAAAAAGTCTGAAATGCATATTTATGAGGATTTATATTTAATCAACAAAATCACTACTAAGATTTTGATCGCAACTGTATGTATGTACGTACATATATTAATATAGTGCATATTATATTAGAATATAATGCTCCTGAGTGTGCTGCAAATAACGGCAATGTCAATTTTCACTCTTGGAAATCAACTAAGCGCTGATATAAATCACTAAATATCCACTGGTGTGTGTGTTTGTGTGGGTTTGGGTGTCTATATACATACATACATATGTACAAATATATAAAATATTTATTAGAATATAAAATATGTAGCAGAAAATGGTGTGATGACATATTGCAATTGAACATTTTAATATATTACTAACATTAGTCTTGTGCAAGTACCCCTCAGGTCAAGTTAAGAATAACAGTGTTTTTAAAAAGTAATTATTTATTTCCGCGCTTTAGATTGTTTTTAATCAAATATGCTCAAAATCACCCAAAAACGAAGCGAAGGAAAAATATCACACGTCCACGCAGTGGGTTTACGTGAGAGAGCTCGATTTACAGTATGAACAAAGTGATAAAAAAAAGACACTAGTGGCAACCCTGTGTTTATAAATATTTGCATATGAGAGACAGTGAATGGTCTCGGAAGTCGGAAAATTAATATAATGCGATGTTAGTAAGCACCTTTTAATTGTATTATTGAAAACCAAAAAGAATATAATAAATCCCTCTTATCGAGGTGTTCGTTGTACACACACGCCGCAACATTACTGTTAATTACAAGTTGATGTTATAGAAGTCATTTAAAGGCAGTCCCTTAAATGCACTTAACGTACAATTAAAACTAACTAACGGTGTTTATGAAATTAAACGGTAGCCACATCATGCATTCTAGTCAGTATTTGAATATCATTCGGGGTGAAAAAGTTCATTTTAAGCCAAATAAAGGGTGCTTTTTTATAACATGTGGCTTTCAGGAGGAAGCACCAAGAATTTAGTATTAAGGTAAATATAAGATTTTGTTATAATTTTTAAAAAGTGATCCGCGGGGCTTTCTCGGTAGACAAGCGATTTCACATAACCCCAGAAAAATTATCAACGGTGTTAAATAGCACGATGTTGTTGGGACCAAAGATCGTTCATATCAAGATACTTCAATTTAGGCAGGAAATAGCTATTAATTACTGCTCAATAGCTTTCCTCATGGGTTGTGTTATGATCGGCTACATTGTATTCTGGCCATAAAGCACTTTTATATGGATTCAGCGGCCTCTCAATAAAGGCTTGTGGATTATCATCACTCCAAATGTGATATTTTAATTTAGTAACTCGCTGCAGCTCACGCTGAATAAAAATGTCTTCTAAAAATCGTGATCGCTCACCATCAGGTTTTGGTCCCATTCATCGAACCGGCGACCCGATTAATGGTCGTTGGACTACAATTTTGGCATAAGTTTGATCTTATCATGCCTGCAAACCAAGATCCTTCCACTGACTCTTTCTTAAACCATATGAACTCAGCTCCAATTATTGCGCGCGATTGCGAATGTATTTAATCGGCTATTCTTCGATACTAGGCTTCCTAGAATCCGTATAGTGTTTGGTGAAAACTGCACGACATCCCTGAGGATACGCATTATCCATTATATAGTCTAATCGTAAAGCGATCCATACGTGCTGGAATTACTGCACTACCATTTGAAAGGCCAGGGTTGGAGTTCTGACTCGATCATCATCATCCAAAATTATAAAAAATTAGTTTCCTTTATTGTGGTGGTCTTTCGGCAGGGAATGTCGTGCACTCCTAGTATATTTCTGGCATGAATGAAAATATAATCGTAAAAATCCATTTTCCGTTCGAAAGACGCTTAGTAAGACGCATACCACAAATAGGAAGAGAAGCACAGCCGAAAACAGTTACCCCCCTAAGGAAGTGCTGCTTAATACCTGATTTTTGCACCTTCATCTGCTTCCACCGATAAGTACTATGAATCTGCTAACTGTTTGTTTGATGACAGAGGGCAAAGTTTGTCGATTTCCAAAAAATGAACACTTTATCAGTTTCGAATCAGAGAAAAAAGGGTATCTACTAGTCAATCGGGTTTTAGTTGACACCCTAAGAGCTGGTTACTGTCGATGTGGGGTTTCACAATTCACAGAATGAAAGTTAATAGAGGAGTTGATAGACTCACTGCAATTGACGTCGGTAGCACGCTTTGTCCAGCTGTTCCGTGTGCTAAACCGCGTCCGTAAAGTCGCGTACACCCTTATTGATGAGCCTGACAGGTAGTTGGGTTCACAACCGAGTGGTTTTCTAACTGGCCGTCATTCAAATCAAAGCGACGTTTCTTTGTCTTTTTCTCAAGAGCTGTTGTTGAGGATATCCATATTGAGCAGTTATCGGCATATAGGATCAAAGAAATACCCTCTACTACTTGAAACTCTAGCAATGGCTGTTCTCCATTCATATACTTTATGGTCAACTCCGCGAGAATTGAGAGTCGCTTAATATTCCATAGTGGCACTGTGTGTCTGACCATGTCAAAGGCTTTTCAGGTGACACTAAAAATTCTGATCGAGCCGCGCCACCCCGCCACTGATTCTATACAGTGGCGAAATGAGATTATTCTTGCGATAATCAGCGATACGCATTTTTAAAATATCGTTGGAAATACACAACAGATTACACTCCGTATACGCGATGCACGTGGTCTGAAGAAGATTTCACTGTAACTCGCGCGGCAGTCAACGTGTTAAGTGGAATTTGCTGGCTTTAGGTGCATATGTGGGGCTACTATCCGGAAGCCTTGCCGTTGTATCGCTGGGAAGGTTGAAACATAAAATTGTTTGTTGAAGAGCGTTCGATGTGTTCTCTCCGCGGTCTCCACATAGAGACATGTGACAGGCGGCACCTTCCCAATTATGGCATTAGAAAATCCAAGTGCTGGGTTATCAATACATTTCTCCTGGTCGTCATGAGTACTAGTACCGAAGGCACACATTTATACAGCGCGACAATTGCTTCAAGACGGACGGCCGCTCGCAGTTGAAACTCTGACAAACAGACACAGCAATTAGACTCCAGTGAATCCTGAAGTAGAATATTTTATTAATAACATAAAAAATTATCAAAGTTCCCACATAATTAATGTTTCATTGCATGATTAACGAGCCAAACTCACGCACCCAACGGCAGATAATATCAATGGAAATGCGCTCAAGAAATCAGTATAAAAGACTCAGTAAACCTTGCAAGTTAATTAGTACTTAATTAAGCGACAATTAAGAATGTCATACACGCTGCTTTTCGCTCTGCTGCTTTACTCCATACAAATCAGCGTCTCCAAGCTTTTGCCGATTGCGGAGAGCAATAACAATGCGAAGCATACATTCGCCAACACTCTTCTACGCATCTACAAAGAAACACCCTACGAGACGATATTTGTGTTAGAGAATGCAGGTAAATCTTGCTTTGCAACAAACGTACTCGAAAGTAGTTTGAAAATACCGTTAATCAGAGCCACAGACGCTGCTGCGGGAGAGCAACTAAGAACGCGTTTCAATAGCAATCTGCTGACAATTGTCTGTTTATCACAGGCGCAAATGGAGCTCAAGCTACTGAAGATGCTGGCCGCCAGTTTGCAATACCGACATCAGACGCGGATTGTGCTACATTTTGCCGAGATGAAACCCACGTCAGCACTTTTGGCAGCGTCGCGGGATTTTTTCGAACTTAATTACATGACGAATGTCATCGGTTTCTACAACTCAACACACTACTACCGCTACTCTCCCTTCCCCAGTGGTAATTGGAAGCTGGAAAGTGCAAACACAACGCGTTTCTATACGCCCCTCCATCAGCTCAATTTACATGGTAAGATTTTCAACACATTACCCGATCAAATACTACCTCGTAGCATGGTTTATGTGGATGCGAGTGGTCAGCAGCGTTTGAGTGGTCATGTGGGTTATTTAATGAGCACGTTTGCTTCGAAATATAATCTCACGCTCAAATTTGTGCACCCAGTGACACCAGGCAATATAATACATTTAACGGTTCTATTTGATTACGTCAACAATGGCACTATAGATTTGGCGATCTCTCTGACTACGGCATCCTTCAACCCGACACGCGTCTATCCTCTACTCTCCTATCCGCTGGAGATAATTGAATGGTTTGTGGCGCTGCCTTGCTCAATACCATTGGAGTACGCGGAGATTTATACGATTGTCGTCACCACTCAAGTAATCGCCTTGTTGACACTACTCACCCTACTCTTCTCTGCACTGGACGGTATCATAAAGTATTTGTTCCACAAACGCAATGAAAATTTCAGTTTGTTTAACATTTTAATGAATGAAAATATGTTTCGCGGCGTTTTTGGTCTTTCTGTGCTCATTAAGCGTCGTACGGTGGTCTCTTCGAAAATTCTCTACATCTTTCTTTTCCTACTGGGTATTTTCATTAACAACATGTACTCAGCCTACTTTCAAACTCTCTTCACCAGCCCACCGCTCCAAAAGGAAATACTCAGCTTTGACGATATGCGTAGGCGAAATTTGAAGTTGATGTTCGATCGCAGCGAAGTCCAATTGGTGCGAGAGGCACTCGGCTCACAATTCAACGAGACATTTAGGAATATATTAGTCTTGGCAGATACTGCGACTGTGCAGAGTCATCGCAGTTTGTACGATACGAGTTATGCGTATACAATGCCCGAGTCGCTTTGGGCGATCTTCAGCGCACAACAAGAAACCTTCGAAAGGAAAATATACTGTTTGGCTCCAACCCTGAAATTTTTCGGTTTATTAATGATGGGCATACCTGTGGCTGAGAATTCATTTCTATTGGAGCCGTTGAATAAGATGATAATGCGTGCGACTGAAACGGGTCTGCTGTTACATTGGCAGGCGATGACATTTATCGATTTGGTGGCAACTGGGCGGTTTTCACTTAAGGTAACGGGTAACGTGGTGGAATTTCATGACATCAGCTTGAAGGACATCGAATTTCCGTTTCATTTGCTATTAATTGGCTTATGTCTGAGCAGTGTCGTTTTCATTGTGGAGGTTTCTGCGTTCAAATTGAAGATCTTCCACACAAAGAGAGTTTTGAAATAGAAAAAATAAAATTTTATTTTAAATGAAATGAAGCATTGTTTTCAGTATAAAATATGTCTAGCATTTACTTGATCTAATTCTTTAACTTGTGGTTAAATTTAATAAAAAGTGTAAACAATTTTAATTTTTTTTTAAGTTGAATACTCATCAAAACTCAACTCAACGTGATCTCTCTAGCGAAGTGGTGGTCTTACCTCCCTCTGAGTCGAGTATCTGCACAGCGAGCTCGAGTGATTTCATCTAGTCGGACGACAGCACAACTAGTATATCTTATCTTCTTCTTCATTACTGACGAAGACAACGCTCACGCGATTATAGCCGTGTTGTGTTATTAACATTGCGTTCTTTACCTTCTACTCTACCCTTCTCGACCAGGTCTCTCCAACTGAGCGCAAGTCTTCCTCTTTCTCTGCTTCCACCAGCGGGTCTTTGCATCGAAGAGGTTTTTGTATTCAGAGGTGGAGTATTCTGAACCTTCCGGACCACATGACCCAGTTGGCGGAGCTCATCGCTCCATCGGCTCCGGTAATCGCCAATATCAACTTATAGAGCACCATAATTCTTACGCAAAACTTTGTTGCTAAAACTCCTAACGCCGACTCATCAGATGTTGTCATCGTTCATGACTCCGCACGATATACATATGTAGCAGGGGCAGAGAATGATGAGTCACTTGCAGAGTTTGGTCTTCGTTCGGCGAGAGAGGAATTTAATTTTCAATTACCTACTCAGTCCAACGTAGCACCTGTTGGCAAGAGTGATTATGCCCTGCATTTTTAGGCTGACATTGTTGTTGGTGTTGGTTGGTGATAGTTCCTAGACGACATTATCAACAACTTCAAAGTTATGACTGTCAAGAGTGATGTAGGAGCCGAGTCGCGCATGCAATGGCTGTTTGTTTGATAACAGAAGATATTTCGTCTTTCCACGTTCCTTACCAGACCCCATAAGAATCGCTTTCTTATCCAGTCTGAAGAAGGCAGAACTCACGGCGAGGTCATCAGCGACGTACGCCAGCAGCTGGGCATTCTTTCACCTTCTCTTTTCAGCTTTGGAGCTCTTACAATTTTCTCCCGCAACAAATTAAAGGAGCCAAACAATAAGGAAACAGCTTATCTGAAAACTTGTTTGGTATCGAACGGCTCGGAGAGGTACTTCCCGATCGTGTTGTTGTCCAGCGTCAGTTTACACAGCCGTATAAGTTTTGAGGAGAAACCAAATTCAGGCATGGCGGCGTAAAGGCAGCTCATATTCGTGCTGTCGAATGCGGTTTTAATCGGGACGAAGAGGGGGATTGTGTCGATCCTGTTTTCATGGGTCTTTCCAAGATTTGGCGTATGGTAAATATCTGGTCAATGGTTCAATGCTCCAATCAGATTCATACAATGCGCTTGACAGGACCTTATATTAAGGTTGCTTATCTCACGATACGTGGCGCAGACTGTGGGAAAGGACAGAATACACTTAAATTACTATTGTCGGGCATACTTTTTTTGCTAGGAAGCTGATGCGTGCATCTGATCAGTTCTTTAAATTGAATAGCTCGGCCGGTAATCCATCGACCCACGTTGCTTTGTTGTTTTTCAAGCGATTGCGGTACAAGGTCAAAGCTATATAGTGGATGCATAAACACTTCCCAGCCAAGCTCTCTCAGTTTTTGGCTAGTGACCAAATGGAGTGACCTACAGTTTATACTAAGCCAGCTCAGAACGGCTAATGGGACTATACAGAGGTACCTCTATTTGTTGGAAAAACATCAATACTCACACCACAAAATTGGTGGGAGCTCGGCCAAGAAGTGTTTCCACGATTATAACTGCCAATTGTAAGTATTCATGGACATCAGATGGTTGTACGAGGTTGCGGCACCTCTGTAAACCCGAACGGTAGCGTTCTTTTGTCGTTCTGGCAGAAAATGTTTTGGCGCAAAAAAAAACTCTTTAAACAATTTAGTCATATGTATAAATTGCGATATGTGCAAAGCTTTAATTATTATTCTTAATTACTCATACTCATATAATTATTATTATCATTGGCAAACGTTTTGTGGCACGCACTCAACGCAGAGCACACGAGTTAGAGCAACTAGAGCTTCATAAATCGCCACAGTTCAACTGAAAACTCACTCTCGTTGTGTTGCTGATTTACTTGTTTAACGGTAATAATGCAAAACTTTTACCAGTTGTGGAAAATGTGACTTCAAACAATATCTTACTCACCACTGTACTTAGGGTCTATGGCGAGGAATCTTTCGAAACAATATTTCTTCTGGAGACAATGCCGCCATGTTGTTTTCCTGCAAAAAAGCTCACAGAGTATTTACCAATACCGTTAATTCTTACAACAATTAATGCTTCGGAAGGTAAACTGATGGTTCGCTTCGATAGTAAAATTCTCGCGATTGTGTGTTAGCCCGATGAGCAACAGCCGCCTGATCTCCAACTACTCAGCGTGTTGGCGGCCAACTTGCAAAATCGGCCTTTTGGGGATCCTTATAAAATTAATAAAATTGCTTACATTTATTTTTTATATAAAAAAAAAACTGAAAAAATTCCTAAAGAGATTTTTCCTAAAAAAATTAGATAAATTGAAACAAAATAAAATCAAATAAAGCAAAAAATATAAATCAAATCATCAATAAAACAAAGTAAAATAAAAATAAAAAAAAAATTAAGTGAAATAAAAGTAATCTTATTGCTTGCTTATAAAATGCAATAAAATAAAATAAAAAAAAATTAATTAGAACGAAATGAAATAAAACAAAATGAAATAAAATGAAACAAAGTAAAATAAAATAATTTACAAGAAAATGAAAAAATAAATAAAGGAAAGGAAAAAAATAATTAAAACAAAATAAAGTAAATAAAATAACTGAATTTACAAATAACAAATTGTAGAAAATAAAAGAACAAAAATATTTAAAACAAAATAAAATATGTCGAAATGAAATAAAAAAAATACAAAAAGAAAAGAAAAAAAATTAAATCTAATACAATCAAACATACTAAAGAAAAAATAAATAAAAACCAAAAAAAAAAATAATTAAATGAAATAAAGTAAGCAACCAAACAAAATTAAGGAAAAAAATTAGCTAAAACAAAAAAATTATAAAAAAAATTAAAAGAAAAAATTAATAAATAAAAGAAAGGAAAAAAATTAATTAAAAGATTATAAGATAAAGTAAAATAATTTACAAATAAAAAATTATATAAAATAAAAGAAAAAAATCATAAAACAAAATAAAACATATCAAAATGAAATATAAAAAAATTAATTATTTGCAATAAAATTAAAAATTAATTCATTAATTATTAAAAAAGGAAACAAAATTCAATAAGGATAGCAATCAAAAGCAAAACGTATCAAAATTAAATTAAAAAATTAATAAAAGAAAATAAAATAAAATAAAATAACTTAATAAAAATAAAGAAAATAATTTGCAATGAAATTTAAAAAAATAAATTACTGAAAACAAATTATTTAAAACAAAATATAATATATAACAATGAAATAGAAAAATTAAAGAAATCAAAATAAAATCTGATACAATAAAATAAAGTAAAGAAAAAATAAAATAAAAACCAAAGCAGAGAATTGAATGAAATGCAGTAAGCAACCAAATAAAATTAAGTAAAAGAATTAGTTAAAACAAAATAAAATAATATAAAAGAATTTACAATGAAATCAAAAAATAAATAAATAATATATTTAAAACAAAAATTAAAACATTATATAAGATATAAAAAAATAATTAATTAATAATAAAATATATCAAAATGAAACAAATTGAAAGGCAATTAAAATTAAATTGAATTAAATTAAATAACTAAAATAAAATATAAAAGTACTTTGCATTAAATTTAAAATAAATTCATTCATTTTAAAAAAAAAAAGAAAAAATAACTGAAACAAAATTAAATAAAGCAACCAAACACAAAAAGTTAAATCAAACGCAACAAAATAAAATAAAAAAAGATAAAACGAAATAAAATAAATTAAAAATTAAATAAAAAAAATGAAATAAAATAAAAAAACTAAAATAAAATGAAAAAATTAAGACAATAGAGGAAAAAAATTAATTAAAATAAAATAAATATTATCAAAATGTAATAAGGTAAACTGAAATGAAATAAAATATCAAAAATTAAAATAACATAAAATATTTTGCAATAAATTGAAAAAAAAATAAATAAAAAATGGAAAAAATAATTATCACAAAATAAAATAACATTATTCGAAATATAGTAAAATAATTGCAAAAAATGGATGACGTATTACTTGAGTAATAAATATATGAAAATATAAAAAATTAATGTAATATTTAAAAGAGCGAAAATAAAACGAGATATTTTTTCTTGAAGTACGACCAGACCTTAAGTATGATGCAAGTTTTCGAAGAGACCCTAGATATTTGGATACAAATCAATTCGTTCCGTTAGTGTCTATTTCTGTGAAAAACTATGTATCTTGTCTTTTCGAAAATATCCGGAAGGAATCCACATCTCTATGTACCGAAGTCATTGACATTGGCTAGTTAGTTAACAACTAACAGATCCGTTTTCTTCGTCTAGTCGATGCTCCTTTAGTTTTAGTTGTTTTCTGTGTAGCTTTCGCTGGTTATAACAAAGAAAGAATGGAATCTCTTAGCTGTAGAGACTGTTGTCCTTATTGGCAAATATTTTGGGATCATCGCTTTTCACAGGCCTAATCATTCGCCATAGACACGAACATATGGTATTCACTTGGTGCGTAGTTCGGACTATAAGGAGGAAGCATAAGAACCTCCTAGTCAAGCTCTTGGTGCTTCCGACAAGTTTGGGCGTAGAATAGTTACACAATCCCACCAAACACACAACAAAACCTTCTTGTTCGCTAATCCTAGTGGCCGTTTGTGACAGATGACTACCCTTCGAATTGGTCGTTTTCATTTGACTTTGCTATATACGATCCACTGTTCATCACGTCACCATCTGCTTCAGAGATTGGTGGATTGTTTTACAATTTGATAGCTGCTTGCAGATTGGAGGTTTGCGTTAACAGCGCACCTATAGCGAAATCAGACGCGTCTGTCTGGATTGTGAAAAGCGTATCAAAATTCGGGCAACTCAAAACCGTAGCTGTCACCAAGCGTTCCTTCGCTTTCTTAAAACTCCTTTCACAATCTTCAGTCTAATTGAACTTTCGATTTTTCTTCGTTAAATCGGTGAGAGGTCTAACTAACTCTGCAAAATCTTTAATAAACCTGCGGTACCAGGACACTGTTCCTAAAAATGAGCGCACTTGTTTCACGTTCTTCGGTTCCTCAATCCGATGCATCGCCGCAATCTTGTAGACCTTTCTTATCCACCACTAAGCTCAAATACTTCAACTCAGAGCTACAAAAATTACACTTGTCCCTATTTAAACTAAGCCCTGCTCTATTTAAACCTTTTTTAAAAATATCTAAATGTTTCTTAAAAGTATTTGTGACGACAATAATATCGTCCAAATACAAAAAATCATGAGGTGCTACCTCTGGTCCTATAAACGAATCTATAAATCTCTGCCAAGTTACCGGTGCATCATGCACACCGTATGGCATCCTCTTAAACTGAAATAGTCCTCTGCCTGGAACCTTAAGCGCTGTGAAGGGCCTCGACTGCTCTCCACCGAAATTTGCCAATAAGTGGACTTAATGTCCAGAATGGACAGAAACTTGGCGTCCCTTAGGTTTTCTAAGGTCGCCGACACGTATGGCCCATAATCAAATAAAACCGATATGGTACATATTTCTTCCTGATCATAACTACTGGAGACGCCCAAGGACTATGTGATTTCTCTATTACCCCCTATGTTCGATATCCTTAATCTCCTCGTCTATACGCGACTGTAGAATGGGAGAGACAGGGTAATAACGCTGTTTCACAAGCTCAGCTCCTGCCTTAACCTTGATCTTATACTCGACCAAATGGGTCTGGCCTAGCGCTTCCGACATAGCCTGGAACACCCCACCTATTAAATGGTTTAAATCCTTAGACTCTCTATCGCCTAACTCGGAGTGGTCGACTATTGCCACCAACGGTTCTGGTTCCGGCCAAGAAAACGACCACCTCATCCTCGATACATCCGGGATAATACCCGCCTTGGCCCAAAAATCGATGCCAAGAATTACGCCCCGAGGTAACTCGGGAGCCACAAGGCATTCCAGGAGAACCGACTTGCTCTCTACCTCGATTGGCGGCAAAACCGAACCTAACATCGAGATATGACCTCCATCCGCGAGACTCACTCTCAAAACATGCGGAACAGAACTCACCCTAATATCATACGAACTCAATTTTTGCCAACCTAGCCGACTTATTGCCGTTCTGGTCGCACCAGAATCCAACAAAGCCCTAAAAGCAAAACTATGGATCTTAACATCCAAAAAACGGGCGTTCGTCGTGACCGTCCGTCACCAACGAAAACGCTAACCTAACTTCTTCAATATCAATACCTACAGTTGCCAGCTGGGAGTTAGCAGGTTTACTAACTCAAACTCCTGTAACACCAGCCTTTTTTAAGTGGTTCCAACTGGCTTTTGTGCAATGTTTAGCTCTGGGGCTTCAAACAGTGCTCGACGATTTGCATTATTTCATCGACATTTTCCTTACACTCCGGAACGAAATCGACGAAACCAAAAGTGTGCATGATTGACTATTACAGAATGTGTATTTATGTATACCTTGTATCCTTATAGAATGACGCGACGGATCGATATAGGCACATTTCTCTGTCCATCTGTCCGTCCATCAATGCACAAGATAACTGATTTGAAGATTGAGAAATTTGAATGAAGCTTGGTTCAAAAACTCCCTCGGTCACAAGTGGGGATTCTATTGCAAATGAGTAAAATCAGAAAAAATAAGCTCACGAGCTCCTTCCACATAACTGCAGTACAAGACTCAGTTACTATTTGTCTATAAAACTAGAGCTTACCTTGGGAATATTACAATTCAGAGAGTTGCAAACATATTCCAAAAAATACTAACCCTTTTTATGTGGCCTATTTTCCATATTTACTAATTAAATATCATTACTTTTTATCTATTTTCAGTTACTCATGCCTCGTCTCACGCATACGCATGACCAGCACTTAATGAGGCCGCAAGCAAAGATGTCATATTTACTACACGCTGTGTTGCTACTCTCCTATTTTAACTGTAATAATGCAAAACTGCTGGCAACTCTAAAAAGTGAAATTGAAAATAGAGCATTACTCAATATAATCGAAGAAGTCTACGAAGAGGAAACTTTCGAGACAATATTTTTACTGAAAGAAGTGGCGAGATCTTGTGTTTCTACAAACGAGCTCGAGACGCGTACAAAAATACCATTGATTCTTGCAACAGTTAATGCTACGGAAGACAAACTGAAGAATCGTTTCAATAGTAAAATACTCGCGATTGTATGTTTGCCCGATGAGCAGCAGCCGCCTCAAAGCCAACTACTCAAGGTGTTGGCTGCCAACTTGCAACATCGACGACAGACGCGTATCCTGCTATACCATCCTGCGATCAAGGCTTCAGCTGAACTTTTGGCTCTGCTAAGCGTCTACTTGGAAGAGCATTATATGACGAAAGTGATTGCTTTCTTCGACGCTTCGAGTGCAGTCCCGTTCGCGCCACATTTCTACCGTTATCACCCATTCCCCAGTAGTCACTGGTAGCTCGTACCGTTAAACCCGACACAGAACTACTTTTTAACACATGAAAATAATCTACAAGGCAGAACATTCGTCACACAGCCCAGTCAAATATTGCCACGCTGCATTGTTCTCGTGGACTCAGCGGACGTGCCGCGTTTGAGCGGTTATGTCGGTTATCTGATGAACACTTTCGTGGCGAAGCATAATATCACACTGCGTTTCTTATACCCAGTTAAAGCGGGCGAATTGGTACATCTAACGACACTTTTGAAATATGTCACTAACGGTACAATAGATTTTGCCGTCACTCTCGTGCCGTTATTTTATGATCTATCAGAAACTTATCCATTGCTGGCATATCCACTGGAAACAATTCGTTGGTTCATTGTGTTGCCTTGTCCGCAGCCGTTGGCGTATGCAGAAATATATAAGATCGTAATAACGGCACATGTATTTGGCGCTTTGTTGATATTCTCACTGCTGTTTTCGCTCATAGATACCGTTATTAAGCATTTGTTCTACACATCCCACGCCGAGTTTGATTTCGTTAATATTTTAGTGAATGAAAATATTTTTCGCGGCATTTTCGGTCTCTCCTTTCTCATAAGACGCCGACCGGTGCTTTCGTTGAAAATACTTTATCTTTTCCTCATGCTACTGGGTCTCTTCGTGAGCAACATGTATTCTGCGTACTTTCAGACGCTCTTCACGAGTCCACCGCTACAAGAGGAAATACAAACCTTCGACGATATGCGTCGCACTGGACTGAAACTAATGGTTGATCGCAATGAGATCAAATCCATTGTGGATTCATTTGCTTTTATTTCCAACAAGACTTTTCAAAACATTTTACAGTTAGAAGATACTGGAACATTTCAACGTCATCGTCGCGATTATGATAACACTTATGGCTACACCATGCCGGAATCACTTTGGCCCATCTTCAAGGCGCAGCAAGAAACCTATGACAGCCACATTTTTTGTTTAGCTCCAAGTCTCCAATTGTTCAGTGGTATGTCGTTGGGCGCACCGTTAGCCGAGAATTCATACCTAACGGCACCTTTGAGCATGTTGATATTGCGTGTCATTGAAACCGGTCTTCTGGCACATTGGCGCACGAGAACATTCCTCGATTTAGTAGAAAGTAAACAGCTCTTTTTCAAAAGACCCGCACAGAAGCAGCTTTTCCATGACATCAGCGTGAATGATGTGCAGTTTCCGTTTTATATGCTGTTAGGCGGCTTGTTCGGGAGTAGTATTCTCTTCACTTTGGAAATTTATACATTCAAATTAAGAAAGAGTCAAAAACAGAGATCATGAAAAGTGCATAAGAAAGTCAAAAAGGCCGCTTAACATATATATATATAAGTATTCCAAGCTGAGAAATGTGTCACTCTGTAAAAAGTCTTTTAAGTAAATTTTCTAAAAATATAGCCATTCTTAAAAAGCCAAAGTAAATTTTAATATTTTAGCAATATAAAAAGGTAAAATTAGAGCCAAGTCAGCAACAGCGCGCCATTCACTCCTTGTTTCCCCTGTTTGGTGCCACTTCAAAATACCAAGTAAAGCGAGGTTTTCTCTATGAGGACTTTTCAACGGAGTGGAGGTCTTCCTCTTCCTCTGCTTCCACCGGCGGGTACTGCGTCGAAACCATTCAGGCCATATGACCTAGCCAGCTTAGCCGCTGTTTCTTGATTCGCTGAACTATGTCAATGTCGCCGTATATCTCATACAACTCATCATTCCATCCGCTGCGGTATTCGCCGTTCTCAACTCTTAGAGGACCATAAACCTTACGCAAAACCTTTATCTCGAAAACTCCTAGGGTCAGCACATTACTTTTTGCCTCCGTCTATGTTTCCAATATAATGGAACGGGGATGATGAGGAACTAGTGGAGTTGGGGTGTTTCATCTTGACCTCATTCCCTACTAAATTCATATGCTTCGCTTCTAAAACCTCTTTTTGGTATCAAACGCCACGCTGAAGTTACTGCCGAAGCCTGTTTTAAAATCGACGAAAAGGTGGAGGGTGTTGATCCTTTTTTCACGGGTCTTTCCAAGATTTGGCGCATGTTGAATATCTGGTCATTGGTTTTGTTTTTGCTAGGTCTAGTGCCACACAGATAGGTTCCAATGAGATTGTTGAGGATGGACTGTAGTCTTTCACACAACATGCTCGATAGTATCTCATATGCGATACTTAGGAGGATTAACCCACCGCAATAGGCTCGAACTGTGTATCGTCCTTGTATGGATTGGGCAGAGCGCACTTTAGTTCCAATCATACATGGACATATTTTCATCCGACCATATTTTTGCCGGTAATCCATTGGTCACCGCCGATTACTGTTGGAATCTCGTCATAGTAGAGTAATAGAACATCTATTCCATCATCATCGTGTGTGGGTTGGTGTTCGCCATCTCTGAGTATTGCATTTTTACTACCGCTCAGTATGCTAGAGAAGTGCACCTTCCATAAATTCAGTCACTAGAATCTGCTCCGGCCTTCAAACCTTCTGTAAACCGCCATATCTTATCTTAGAATTTTCCAGCACTATCCTTGTTGACCAGCCTCTCAACCACTTCATACTAACGCATCTTTCATTTTGGTTAGCACGTACATCTTGCTTCCCTCTTCATTTCCCGGTATCTATCCCATCCTGCATGTTTAGGGCTCGATTGTGGTCGATAACGTGTGGGGTTTCTGAACCAAACAGATGGCTACCTTGCTGGTTAACATAGTAACCAAAATGGAAATGTGATTAATGGGGAAAACTGCTCTTCTCCTGCCAAGCGATCCTCAGCCGATTGCGCGAACCGAAATGGTATTATATGGTTATGAGACTTAAGTGCTTAGACCAATTGGACTTAATAAACCATTATACCAAGATCTTTATAAATACCCACGACAGTTCTTAAATAAGCTAAATCTACTAGAAAATAAACAGTAATAAAAAGTCGTTGATCCCGGATTCACGAACGAATTTTACGCACATCTACTTCAATGGATGTAGTTTATTGTATTTCTAAAGAAAATTTTGATAAATAAATGAAAGAAGATAATAAAATGGAAGCCCCAAGTACGTACCGCTGTGTGCCTTTAACGAATAAACTGAATTAAAAATAAACGACTCAAATGCCGCGGGCGAATTCGCCTCAGTATAAAATGAACAGAAGAAGGGGAAAAAACCGCTATGTGTCAATATGGCCAGACTGGTTCAAAATAGTTTTCATAACATAAATATAAGGTGGCGTTCTGGGACATATAAAAAGGCAATTGGAATATCCTCTTACTAAACAATATTCGTAACCCAGATAAATGTATAAATATCCCAAGCTGTAATGGACAGAGATAAAAAATTGTTATTCAAAAAAATTTTTACTGACGACTAACTTGAGAGCGATACATTTCTGCCAAAAAGATGCAGCTGAATCTTAAATTTTCCATTTTGTATTGGCTTTTTAGTAAGAAATCTGGGTTCAGCCTTGAAAACAAAGTCCTTGTTTATATTTCCACTATAAAATCGATATGGACGTTTGGAATGCAATTATGGGGTACAGCATGGGCGACAAACCTATATATAATGCAGCGATCTAAGCATATGTCCAATCAAGGAAGAGATTGAAATTGTTACATAAAATTAGATAGCAAAACAGCACAATCATCCAAACCGTCTGGCTATCCCCATGGCCATCGCAACAAATCAAACGCGCCTGGAGAGAAGGGAGGCACTACCCTTGTGAGGAGCAACATTGAGCCAGCAGTCCATCTCCAGCTAATGGGTTATTATATATGAAATTAGTTTTTAAGTTTTGACAACTTATTGTGAGGTTTCTTATACTAAAGCAGATTCAATAAATAAATACAAATGTTGAAAAAATTTATAAATTTTACCACCAAAATACTGAATACTGTTTGGTGAAAACTCAGTCAATTTCTTTCTTTGGGAGAGTAAAACATTTTAATCTCTCAATTTCTTTACTGACATTTCTCAATGAACTATTAATGACACTTTGAGTATTAACCAAAATTCTTATACTGAGTTTTAGGCCCATTGGGAATGCTTTTTAAAACGTTGAAGCTCAAATAGACTAAAGTTCAAAAGTCCAAATTATATATGTATATACATATACGAGTATGTGGTATCATAATATTCATTTACCTATTATTATTTTTACGACGAACCCAGCATTACGCACCTCTCGCGCAACCAACCGAGGAGCGCGTCTGAGGGATAATCGACAGTCCGCGCTATCCTGAACCCGAAACCGATCGCGGAAGGTCGCGGCGACACTTGCCTCTTAAGCTAAACAGCTCAAGAGATTTGCTCATCAGCTGCTATAAAATTACATGGGAAACTGGAGAAGGAGGAATTAACTCAGTTTAAATATCTCAGTAAGTTGTGATACAGAAAAGCGAGTCAGAGGAATCAATGTTGACGAAATGTGTACTAAAACCATTATACAAAGTTTTAAAAAATTCGTGCATTTCATAGTTTTTGAAGAACCATATAGGGAAGGTCATGGGTAAATATAAGGAAGGGTAAGGGGCCGAGGTGACTGCCTTGAGGAACACCCAATGTTACTGCTATTTCACGTGATGTACAATATTTTAAAATTACTTTTTGTTTTCTGCCAATCAAGTACGATGAAATTCACATGAGAAGGGAAAGTGGTAACCCGAATCATCGTTCTTAAAGTGAAGTAAGGCATGAAAGTCTTGGTCAAATGCTTTGCTGAAGTCATCTACGCTGACAACTGGCATCTGTTTGATTAGCATTTTTGAAACCATGACTGAGATGGGTGGCGGTGAATTCTAGCAGTTTCGATAGGGTAGATTTACCTTTGCAAAACCCATCTTGTGAGATGTCCATAAGTGATGACACAAAATTTTCTAGCTGTTCAGTTACAATATAATAGCTTCGAAAATTTTGGGGATAGAACATAACTTTGCTATCCCCCTGTGATTCCCTATTGAAGATCTTCTACCAGATTTACGTAGAGTTAAAATTTACGACTCTTTACATAAAGAAGGGAATGGAAGGCTTTAATGAAGCATTGAATATGAGGTTCAGTACAAAATTTAAGTATTTACACTAGTAGAGACATTATCTAGACCGTATGTGAATGAGCTCTTAAGAGCATTAAGTAAGGGTGAATGAATGTCTGCGCGGTTGAAGATTTATGGTAAACATCTTCAGGTAAAACGAAAGGATCACAGCGACTTAAAGAAAATAACAAAACGTCATCCAAAAAGAAAGCTCATTTAGGAAACTATCTCGAGTTGAGGTAGTAAACTGTCATTATTCTAATTCCATTCTACAGAGGATGAATTGAAATCTCTAAGGCAACAAGATTGTCAGATGTTTTAGTAAAAAAAAATCAAATAAAAACAATTTGAACCTTGACAACAGGAGAGAGTAAGTGGAAAAGTCAGATATGAAACGTCTGAATATGGCGGGATAAAATTGGAGACAATACTCGTATGAATATTTTTATTAATTAAACGTATTTTAACACAAGGAAATTCCATCGCTTTCGATTTCGCAAAATGAATTTCTTCCGCAGCAAGGTCAGTTTGAATACCAATAAGTACTCCACCAACAATTTTATTTAAGCGGTCATCTCTAATTGAAAAGCAAAGTCGTCTCCCGACAAACAAAAACCAAACTCTACAAGTCCCTCATCATACCCGTCCTGCTATGTGGTGCGGAAGCACAGACGATGACAACATCTGATGAGTCAGCTCTTGGAGTCTTTGAGAGAAAATGTTTGCGAACGATTTATGGTCCTTTGCGCATTGGCATACCGCAGCAGACGATGGAACGAGGAGCTGTACGAGTTATACGGCGACATAGATATATTTAGTTCAGCGAATCAAGAAGCAGCGGCTACGCTGGCTTGATAAATGCGAATAATCCAGCTTTGAAAGTTTTCGATGCAGTACTCGCTGGTGGAAGCTGAGAAAGAGGAAGACCTCCACTCCGTTGGAAAGACGAGGTAGAGAAGGACCTGCCTGTACTTGGTATTTCCAATTGGCGCCAAACCGCAAAAAGAAGAAACGAATAGCGCAATGTTGTTAAAGGAATCTATAGAGCTTTCATAGGAGAAATTGAGTTTCCTAATATCCAAACTGAATGGCGTTAATTTGCCTGATATATAGTATAATATAATTTTTTTTTTACCTGCTCCGCCGACTATTTTCTCCTTCTTCTAATGAACGCTTTAGTTTATTGAGCTAAGGTTGCCGTCTGTTAGTTTCGTCTAGGGTAACTGTCTGTGCGATAAGTCTAGGATTATTGATTCATTCCCATATATGTACATATGTCTTTATCAAATATCATAGAATGACGTGCCAAACGGTTAAGCTCTATGTGTGTCTC